ACACACAGGACAGGTTAAAAACAAATTATTTGAGAGAAAGCGCCATCTGAATTTTTCTCTAAGTCATTTGTGATCAGGGACTTGTAGTTTGTATAAAGTTTGGTTGTCGTTTGCGTTGTTTATTCCTTGGTTTTGATTGTCTGTTTACTTGGTTGAAGAAAAATTTTTAGCAGTTCCGTTGAGCAACGCCACTTGGTATGCTGACGATGCCACACAAGTTTAAAGGAAAAAGAGCGCGTGCGCCTCTGATTATTCAAAAGAAATACGAGAAAATCGCGGGAGAACTTGAACAAAATCACTGTGGATGGTGTAAGTCATGTATTAAGGACAGTGTAGGCTGTCTCTTGATTGTGATATCATTTCTCTGGCTATGCCTACGAATAAAACCATCATATATTCCATTGGAGAATGCATCTAACAACAATGTTATTAATTCCGAACTTACGACACTACCAGAAAAACTTTGTTGTATATGGTCAGCTACTCGAGATTTCAAACAGAGAAAATTTAATTACACGCCCAAGCATCGCTATGGATTGAATCTGGACACTAATCGTAAACTGGCTCACTTATTTCTTCTTATTCTTCTCGCTGGTGATGTGGCTTCAAATCCAGGTCCTATCTTGCCAAGTAATTTAAATAACGATCGTTTCATAAACAACTCATTCAATTGCTTAGTAATAAATGCGAGAAGTCTCAAGAGCATTCATAAAGACGGAGAATCAAAGATACCAGTCAATAATCTTCATCGATTCCAAGATTTGGTTTACAGTGAAAATTCTGATGTTATTTGCGTGACCGAAACGTGGTTAAACAACACCATTTCTGACAAAGAATTATTACATCCTGATTACACAGTATACAGAAAAGATCGTAAAGACCGCAGCGGTGGTGGAGTCCTAATCGCGATAAAAGCTGACTCGTTCAAATCGGTCAAAGAATTCTCTCATCAGGATCAAGAAAATTTGGAAATTGTTTCAGCTGAGTTAAGAACGGTTGCCGAAAAGAAAATTTTGTACTGCTGTTGTTATCGTCCTCCCAATGAAGATCTATGCTGGATGGCCAAATTTAAAACCTTTCACACAATTTGTGACCGTTACGATAATATTGTAATTGCTGGAGACTTCAATCTTCCAAACATCCGTTGGGAAACAATGGAGAGCGCAACTGGTGTCAATGAGCTTCTGTTCTTACAACTACTGAACGATCATTATTTGTCTCAACTAAACTGTATCCCAACACGTGGCAATAACGTATTAGACCTTGTAATCACCAACGTGCCCGACAATGTTAATCATATGCACATATTATCGCCGAATGACACTTCTATATTTACTGACCATCACTCCATCGTGTTCGATTTCTCCGCTTTTGTCAAAAAATCAAAAAAATCAGTAAGAACAATTTATGACTACACGAAGGGTAATATGGATGGACTATTTTCCGCCTTGAGAGAGAGCAATCTGTCTGAAATGATTACCAAAACTGACGACATTAATACTGACTGGGAGCGTTGGAAGTGTACTTTTCTATCGTTTGTTGCCGAGTTTATCCCAACAAAGAAACTTAGAGGTCGGAATCCATTACCATGGATCAACAGCAATATTCTTCACTTAATCAAGAAGAAAGAATCTATTCGCCGAAGATTGAAATCCACTCCCACTCAACATCTAAAAGAAAAGTTCAAGTTCATGCGATCGGAAGTCAAACGTTTGCTACGCGAAAGCCGTGAAAAGTTCTTCTCTTGTGTCAACGATGGCTTTAAGGACAACCCTAAGCGCTTTTGGACTATTCTAAAGCAGAAATCAAAAACCTGTAGCATCCCTGATTTCATCTCTATGCCTGCCACATCCAATCCCGCCAACCAAAATGACCAACCCTCAACTAGACTAACGGCCACAAATCCTTGTAAGATATCCAACATGTTCAATACTTACTTTGCATCTATATTTACCTCGGACAACCCAGCCTATCAACCAGAAATGTCAAGAATTAAACCAATTATTACAGAAAAAAGTCTGACTGAACTTGAAGTGGAATCGTCATTACGTGCTCTTGATATTAACAAAGCTTCCGGTCCTGATGAAATCCCTGCACGTTTACTCAAAGAATCTGCCTCCATCATCGCCCCATCTCTTTGCAAGCTGTTTAATAAATCTTTACGCCTAGGATCTGTTCCAGATGAATGGAAGTTAGCAAACGTCGTACCCGTGTTTAAGAAAGGAGATAAAGCCAAAACTGAAAACTACAGACCTATCTCACTGTTATCGATTGTCTCCAAAGTATTAGAACGCAGAATTTTCTTGAATATCAAACATCATTTATTTCAGCTGATCAACAAATGCCAGCATGGCTTTCTCGAAGGCAAATCATGTGTAACAAATCTGTTAGAAGTTTTGGACTACGTTGGTAGAATTCTAGATCATGGAGGTCAAGTGGATACGATATATCTTGACATGTCTAAGGCTTTTGATCGGATTAACCATCAGACTTTACTAATCAAGATGAGAAATTACGGTTTTGGAGGTAGTCTGCTGAAATGGTTCCAATCGTATTTATCAGGCCGTCGCCAGCGTGTAACAGTACTTGGTGCCACCTCAAACACTCTTCCTGTATCATCAGGTGTTCCACAAGGATCAATTCTTGGACCAGTTTTGTTTCTGTTGTATGTTAATGATCTTTTTGAATCAGTCAATACGTCCCAAGTAGCAATGTTCGCTGACGATACGAAATTGTTCTCTAACATTAAATGCCAGGAGGATTCTACGTTACTTCAGAAAGATCTCAAAAAGCTGGAACACTGGTCATCTACATCTGGTCTGACTTTTAATAAAGAGAAATGTAAGCAGCAACGTATAACCAGGAAGATTAAACCAATATCATCTGAATACAATTTAATCGACCACCAATTACATCGAACTAACATTGAGAAGGATCTTGGAGTATGCGTATCGTCCAACCTTACGTGGAATGCACAAGTTCATCAACAGGCATCTAAAGCTAACAAGTTGCTAGGCTACATTAGAAGAAACACAATGTTTATCTCGAGTTCAGCACCAAGACGGACATTATATCTCGCATTGTTCGTTCTCACTACGGCTACTGTTCGCAGATTTGGGCACCACAAACCATTGAACTCATTAACTTATTAGAAAGAACACAGAGACGTGCAACGAAATATATCCTCAACCTTCCATTTTCGACAGATGAAACGTACAACACAAGATTGCAAACCCTACACCTTCTTCCTATATCCTACTGGCATGAATACCTTGACCTAACCTTCTTCTTCAAAATTACTCATGGCATGATCGAAACGACTGTTTCCCCTGTAATCCAAAACTCACGTAGAAAAACAAGATCCTCATCAAGTAACAACACTAAATATGATGTTCCTAGATGTAAGACCACAACCTACCAACAGTCATTTCTTATCAGATCATGCCGCATATGGAACGCACTCGTGGATGAGTTGGATTTTGATACGGACAGTTATAGTTATTTCAAAACAGTCTTGCTAAAATATTATTATAAATCTTTAGCAGTGAATTATGACTCTGAAAATCCTCGAACATTCAAAACGATATGACTAAAATGTAACTTGGCGCGCAGTCTTGCGTGTCCAATATCCTGCTGTTGTTAGATAATACGAGAATGAGAGTTGATAAGGTCTACTAACCTATACATATATTCGACGTGAATTTCTATTTCATTCAGTTTTATAAATTGACTGATCGAGGTGATCAGTTTTCATATTTACTCGATCTTATCCACTCTTGGTCTGGTGTTGTATTAACTTTGTTTCTTTGTTATATGTTTGTTATGTTGTGCTTTGTTGTTATGTTAAGTAATTATTCGGTCCGCGGTAATTGGCAACTAGCTGTTGCGGCTCCCGTGTCAATTTATTGTTATTACATTGGCAAAGTTATTAAATTAGTTCAGGGGGGGTAATACCAAATATTTTTCAGGGTTAAAAAAGCGATGTGAAGTACAGATTGGTATGCCATACCGCTTGTATTCTCATATATTTCGACCGGAGTTCCTGAAATATAACTGATCCGAATAGACAGACATCTTTGATCTTTGAAACTGTAAATGAATCAAGTAAGATACAGGTTGACAGTTTATTTCAAAGTACTCTGAGTAATCATTCGCCTTATGATCGTTTCAGAAGAAACGTGAAACATTTCTGCATGCATTGATTTTATTTCATTTTATCAATTGCTCTATTAAATTTTGATATCGAGCACTCTTTCATCTTGGATACTTCACTGATTGTATATATATCATGCACAACGCAGAGAGAGAGAGAATCGATCAATCTATCATGTTGTTGGAAGGCCGATTAATCCAAGCGAAGCGAAACCTGATGACGTGCATGGCGAATAAAAGTGAATTTGTATGATATATTTAGAGCAATGTTTATATAGTAAAAAGATTAAGGCCAGTGTTAAGAGAAGGCTTGTTGTTTTTGATGAGGAGGGCTTCAAGAAAGGCGAGAATGTTGTAGCTGTTAGTCGAATGAAGTATTTTGTAGTTAAATCTAAGTTTTCAACAGGAGAAGGGTTTTCTGAAGGTGTAGGAAGATCGTTAAGTTGTGCATGTGAACTGGTCTTGTAGAGTGGCTAGGAACTGAGATGTTAACTTGCTATAGTGCATGTTAGCATGCTTATAAGTTTCTAATCAAAAACGGATAAGTCTTTTGCTGGTATGGACGATCGGAGCTATAATATAACACATTTTAATTTAAGTCCCATTTACACTACACTCGATTTATTGGCAGGGCACTGCTCGTGCCCATTTCACCCATGCCCGGCCTTTGTTTTGGTGGCCTAAACACTAATAAAATTGGGCTCGGGTACCTATTTTAGCCGTGCCGCGCCGTACCAATAAATTGAGTGTGGTGTAAACGAGGCAATTATAGCCATGCAACTGAAGAGAAAGGACGCGTAAACCTCTTGAATATATGCGCTGACTTAAATAAAAAAATTATTTTTCAGATTTCCGAAAGCTTTCCGCTGGGTAATGTTCTCGATGCAATGCTTCAAATTCCCCTGCTTCGTGGGTCGTATAATTCGTACATTCATCAAGCTGCGAAAGCCGTTGCCTATCTTCACACACACGGAATCGTGCACGGAAATTTAAAAGTTGAAAACTTTCTGTTGGTCAATTTTGACAAGGTAGGAGTATCACACATATCTCGTTATCATTGAATGTTTGACCAAACTTATGTATTGTGTTCATTAATATATTGTTTTTCATCATTATCAATTCTAATTAGATCAAACTAGGCCGTCTTGGAATGTCTATTGGAGAGGTGGATCCGAATGCTATATACTGCGAACCTATTGATAAAGATCCTCGATGGTAACTATATATACTGACTTTGCGGTTACTTACAACTGTTTGCTGTGTTATTGAAATAATACCTGCCAACTAAAATCTTAAAAATGACATCGCACACGCCAGAATTTAGTCGACCAACAAAAGCGTACGACAAAAAGCGCGTCCTGTGCGCTTGGCTTTATGTGGTACATATAGTCATTTGCGATTAATTAGCAACCGTTAAACTCAGAAATTAAAACTTAATGAAAGTCCGCCTAATTGATGACTGCATGGATGCGTGAAATGCAATTTGAATTTTAGTCTTCCCATACTGCATTAGATATAAAGCTATATACAAAACGTGATACATTATGGTTGTTATAATTTGCAGTTGAGCAAGCTTATGAAATGGTATAAGAAAGCTTGCATGGATTTTTTTTCAGGAATGCCCCAGAAGTTTTAAAATATGGTTACTACTCACAAACAAGCGATATTTGGTCCTTAGGAGTTGTTATTTGGGAGTTTATGAAAATTGCAAACAGTTCACCAGATGCGAATAGACAAGATGTCCTCCCATACAGCAATATACCGGATGATGAGGTATATACATTCATTATTGGCCTGCATTATTTATGCATAAAACTTTGTTTAAAACCGATAACTCATAACCCCATGGTAATGCAGCGCGAAATTGAAGCGATGAAGTGCGGGGTCTTTACTGTTGCCGGAATAATTAATACCGATCGCGTGTCTTTTAACTTGTTCATATACGCTAATCAGACCGTATTCTTGGACCAGGAACTGGTCCCTAACCGCTGCTAATCTTCCTCTTCTTCTTCTTCTTCTTGTTGTTAGGGGGCGACGCTCTTTAAAAAAACCCTAAGGCTCTAGCATTACTTGTTTGATCGGAATGAAACTTGGCACAATTATTCTAAGCAATATTCCGCATCGATTGACGGAGTTCGAATTTTTACTTTTGACCTTTGAAGCAAGTTACAAGCAATTCTTGATATATTTGCAGCAAATAATATATACATATCATTAATATTCAGCCTATATACAGGGTGAGTCAAAAAAACCTGACACCTTTCAAATTCAAATTAGCTGCGAACTTATGGCTGGAATATGACAATTCCCATGTACAATCAACAAAAACGTTTTGATAATACTGTTCTTTTGTATTTACAGAGCAGAGAATGCATTTTAACTCCCAATGGGAACAAACTTAATGTTTTACGTTAATTAATATGATATGCTTCGTATACCTATGAAATATTTTAAGCAACTTCTGTCACATTACAGCCACTATGCGACTAATTTGAATTTTAAAGGTGTCCGTTTTTTTTTTACTCACCCTGTACAGGGTGTCCCAAAAAAAACGAAAACTATTGAAATCACCCATAACAATGTAATTGTTAGAGTTTGTATACATACGTGTACATGTAAACTAGATCGTGCTACACTAGTCCTGTTTCAATAGCACAAGAACTGTGATGGAGCCTTATATCACACAGAAAGCGTTCATTTCGATTAAGATATAACCGAAAGTTGCTGCGGAGGTGATATTTTATCCGTTGTTTATGCTAGACGATAACCGAGAGTGAGGAACAAGTTCGTCAGTCTGTTCCTTTGGCTAGGCGTTACCAAGACCACCTGTTAAAGTGAAGAAACGAAGTATTTTAAAGAAGCTGCCACTACCCAAAAAACAGATAAGACTAACTTCAACCTGTCAAAAATGGTTCAGGCGCCGATTACATCAATCGCCGAGTGACAAAAAATCTTAGGGATATACGTCCATTGTATATAAAAATAGATTTAATCACAAAAGATGAACAATTGGAATTGAACTCTTTTTGCGAAAAAAACAAGTTGAAAGGGTCATTCATGATATCTTCCAGCCATGATGTTTTTTAATAATTATAATGGTGCACACGAGCGTCGTTTTCGAGCGTTTTCAAAATCGTTTTTGACTTTTGTCTATGGATTTTAAAACATTTTCATTCCTAATCGTGCCTCCATGGCTTCTCGACTGATTTTTTGGTGCATTTGCCTCGCTTTCGGTTTTTGCGTTTGCTTCCACTTCCGGGTTTTGTACTAATTTGTCCTGATAATGTTTGTTCTAGAATTTGTTCTAATAATGCATGTGTCCTAATTTCATCTGCTTTCCGTATTTTGTGACAATATGCTGTTGTTCCATCACAATACATAGGTTTAATCAAAATACCGCGGGTCGGAATTATAACTATACTACCCCTACTCGCTTCACACCGGCTCACGAATACCACAGTTATGGAATTGTTAGAGTCGGTAAACGTGTTTATATCTGTTAATTTATCCATCCATCCATCCGCCTTCAACCTTAAACCGAAAAACTGAAGCAAAAAAACAAAGCGTTTTACGCCACTTTTACGCCCTATAGCTAAAAAGTAATGGAGATTTCCATTTACTCATGCATGTATTCCTGCGCTCGATGCCGCAACATACATTTTGGCGAAGAAAATGCGAAAGTCCCCCATTCTATCTAACGCCGATAAATAATTGTGTAGATGTAGATCTCCCAAAAGACATATACGTAAATTTTTGACGATTTAGTTCCCGGTAGTATGATTATTCATTTCCTAAAAATTTGACACAGTTGATGAGCACCACTTAGTGCACTAAATTTATTGGCACGGCATCGCTAAAATTGGTAACCGTATCTAATTTTATTAGTATTCGGACTATCAATACAAAGGCCAGGCAGGGATTAACTGGGCACAGTACCGATTCTAGCCGGCCGTGCCGCCCGATAAATTAAGTCGCAAAATCAATCGTTTCTTGCCACGACTGTTCTTTGGTATATTTATCATCATCATCATAAATTATCATCATCAATGTTTATAATACATAATATATAATATTGTACATTTTACACCACTGCAATTAATTTTAAAGGTATTCAACGTGGTGAAAAACGGAAACATGCTTCAAAACCCAGACCCAACTCGACCATTTTTGTATCAGGTCTACAACAGATGTTGTGATTGCGATGCAAAAAATCGCCCGAAAGCGACAAATGTTGCCCATTTAATGAAGAACCATAAGTAAGTAAAATAACAAATTATATATAAATGACAATTAAATTATTATGAAAATTAGTTTTTCTAAATCAAAACTCAAAATTTTGCGCATTAAAACATATTTATTACCATTCAAAAGTTGGATATTCTTTCCAAAAGACTTGATAATGCGCTAAATGTGTAAAAGTCTTGAATATGATAATTATTTTTTAAGTCTCACTGCTATATTTCCCTAAATTTCCTATATTTCTAAATTGCCGCCAAAATAACATACGACAATTTTTCATTTGTGAAGAATATCGTACGTCTAATAAGATTGCATGAAGTTAATTTACCCAGTGAAATACGATTTTTATTTCCTCATTCTGCTGTGCATAGTCTCTATACACATATAATAAAATATTGTATTGGGGAAGGATCGACTGACACTAAAATATTACTATAGTAGGACTGTATTGTCAGGCCCCTAGCTACGCTACGGCTAATTACCATTATTTTTAATAATCGTTTCTTTCTTTAGGGATAACTTTTTATTACAGAGACCTTTACCTATAATTCCTGGAGAGACAAACATGTCAAACCTGTATGCTCCTCTTGGCGGAAGGTAAGTGTGAAATCAGAATATTTCACTTGTCTCTTTGTTTCTTTTTCGGAAGCGAACTAGCTGCGATTAGAAAAAAATTTTCAATCAGTTTAGGTACGATCACAAATCGACACAGACCGAACGCAATGCGACAACGCGACGCGAAATTTCAATTTTGAGAAGCATATAAATTAAATTCTGGAAGTGATGTTTGGAATATATATGGCCAGAGCAGTCAAAATGCATTAATCGTTAATAAGGATTACTAAAGAATAATTATTTTGATAGGTAAAAGGTTATTTGCGTTTGGAAAAGTAAAAAACCGCGTTCGTTGCCAGATCGCTTTCTGTCTCTTTGGGCCTTAAACTCTCAATTCGACTGCTTGTTTACAAGCATAGAATAAAGTTTGATCTGAAAAGGCGTGATATAACTAGTCAAAATGGTTGTCGCCTGTATACTAATTTGCATTTCATCCATACATCATAGCTTCGAGTTTTACTGTAAAATACATGAGAATACAGTGTGAGAATACAAATATATAACCACAGACTTCGAACGCTATCTGCCGCCGACGTCTTGACCGATAGAGCAGCTGTTTAGCCACGATTTGGTTTACCTTAGGTATTTCTGCAATCCGCTAAATTGAGAAATATATTGCTCAAAGTTTTAGCCGTGTTTTCTCAGCAAACTTATCAAAGCCTCTGACCACACACCTAGGCGGGCAGGATGCCAGGGTCCCCCTCCCTCCAGATACACATATCAACACAATCAGGGGATCAAACGGGGAGATACTTAAGGAAAGTAATTCGATCATCAAAACAATGCGATGGACGGCTCTACTATTGATTTAGAGGTCAGCAAACAGTGGGCAAGTTACTGAGAACTCGAAACGGTGATTTTAAGCCTTGTATTTTTGCTAGGTATATGTATTTTATAGTAAAGGTTGAAGGCCATTGTTAAATATCAGTATACATTCGACACTCATCATGACCCAAATTTCTGGTAATGCTTGTCATTTGAATACCACTCATCTAGAGCTTAGGATCACTTTTTGTGTATGCTATACGATTAAGTTTTGCTAATACCTCGAATTGTTCGCTAACACAGAAAATTTGCTAATACTTTTTGAAAACTAAAAATGTTGCGTCTTCAAAACATATGTATGGGCTGTAAACAAGGTAGTAACTTAATTTATGATGCGGCTCTGGTAGCGGCGCTTTATGATGCGGCATATACCTTTATTATCCATAAGATTGGTGACAGTGAGTTTGAAGAATGAGATGCAAGGAAATAATATTTGTCTATTTTGGAGGGAATATACAATATACCCATCCTAACGGTGTAATACCACGTTATTACAGGACGGAGAGCACAGAAAATATATACCAAAAATACCTTCCTGTTGTTGATTCACATGGCAATGGTGAATACTCAGAAGACGCGAGATCAAATGTTCATGGCGGCAACTTGCAAGAGGCATGTGGTCATCCTTGTAGATTTACGACGAATACGAGCAGGTATATACAACGAGATGAGCAAAAAATGTTTATGAACATTCCTTTGTTCAGACGATTTTAGGTGGCTGTCTACAATTCTCAAAGAATAGTCATTTTGCGCACCTCGACGTTCAATCTAATTTAATTCGAGTATATACACAGAAATAACCCTACGAGCGTTTTTATGGAGTTGTGTCGATCGTTTGCACTTTACTGCGCTTTATTTTTTGTCTCAATTTTTTGTACTTTTATACCGCACTTTTTTGTCTCACTTCACCAATCAAACGACAATATATCTTTTTTTTCTTCGGTGAATTTTTCTAAATTTTGTGGGAAGATATCGTCGACACTTCCCGTGTCTTCTTTAATGATCGTAATGATCATGATAATGATGGTTGCCATGGCAACCATAATGTTCGGAATAGTCATAATAATCATAATGATCATAATGATCATGATTGGTCACATCATCAGTAAAAACTTAGATATAGAAATTGCACATTGATCACATTCCAAAAGTTAGCAAACGAGTACCCTTAATTACACCGTTAAAAAGCTGAAATTCCTGATACAAAACAAAACTCGCTTTGACATGGCCATGACCATGTGAATCCGCCATAGTGTAAATAGAGAATAATACGTGGAAATTTAATACGTAATCTCACGTACTCATTTCATTAGCTTTTCATGGACTATTTTAAATTTAATTGTGATAGATTATCACGGTGTACAAGACAGATTGCGTCTACCTAGGGTAAAATTGGAAGCTGCAAAGAAGTCGTTTTACTACAGGATGTCCCAATAAAACCGGAACCAACATTATATGTATTAATTATGCATGTACTCGCTGAAATTAAATTAACATTTACATAATTATTTTTCACTATAGTTTAAAACTTAACAAGCCTTTTAGAAAGACGCCTCTCGTCCAATCAGCACGTATGTTGTGTAATTCGTTCGGAATTTTTTTCGGAACATTCGCATGGTAAGAACTAAGAAAGTGGTTGAGTTTAAAAGATGAGCCAATATAAATTGTTTTGCAGGACGGAAGAAGACATGCACCTCACTCGTGGTACAATAGAGGACAAGGAATCAGAAGATGTTAATTACGACGTACAAGAGGCACATGATGTTTGTGGAGTTACTGCGAGCGAAGATATACCGGGGTGAGCTTTATGCTAATTTTCATTTTACCTTACATAATATATAATAGCCCTTGCGTTTTGCTATAAAATACATTGAGTGGGAACAGCTGCTGAACAATTTAATCTCGCTATGCTAATATTTTGGTGTTCATTTTCTGCGAAAACGATAAATTTCTAAATAAATGTGTAGCGATAAAGTAAAACGATGAATTTCTAAATAAATTTGTAGAAATAATGTAAGCAACTTCAAGCAAGGTTAACGGCGACGTTGCGCGTTTTTGTATAAGTTATTGGCATGCGTGAGTCGAAGACGAATTGAAACTGGTAACTAGCAAATGTTGGAAACTTAAGACTGGCTAAATTAGCAATACATACATGAAAAATCCCTTTGCCTATTAAAGCAATTAAACATACATATATATATTTCGAATAGACAACAGTGAAAAAGTATAGTACACGTATCTATGATTACCATCCATTTAAATCAGTTTTTGTCTGAAGGCGTTTTTCACACTTCCTTTCTATCAATTTTACGAGTTTTCTGTATATTTTTAAAACGACCTGAGATCAAAAATATAATTTTCCGAGAGTTTTAAAGAGTTTGCAAGAGTTTTCCAAGTTTTAAAACGAAATGCGGACAGAATCCAAATTTTAAATCGCACGCTTGCAACGATTGCTATAGTTATTAGTAATTAATCGTGTACCTTTAGAGACGAGTCAAGTCATGAATACTCCGAAGTATGTGATGATGATGATAATGATGATGAGTTTAAAACTGATAATGAAGAGAAGTATAAAGAAGGTGATCATTCACGAAGGCCGAATGTGTTGTTACGATTTTATTCCCAAGAATGGTATATTTCTCTTTGATTATCTCTGAATAATTTCACAATTTCATATTAATCTGAACGAAAAATTTCAAGTGTCAAGCGGGAATTGAATTAGTTACATCCTCGGGTATCTAGACCCTGTCTATTTTTGATTTAGGGTGGAGGAGGGTATTCATGAAGATGACATTGAAAGAACAAATACACATGAAGATAAAAAGAGGTAGATTTATTATATAGAAAAATTATTAAGTGAATTGAACGCATATACTAGCACATAATATTATATAGACTTGTACAAAACAATATAGAAGTTCCGTAAAGAGTAAACAGTTTGAAAAATACAATTTTTCTGAAAAAGATGATGACTATACCAGTCGAAAAGTCGAAAATTATATTTTTCAAAATGTTAAAATACTCAGTTGTTCCCGTAATTTTAAGACTTGTACATGCATATAGCGTTAATAATATGTATCTACCGTAGTTTTAACAAAAAAACGCATCCATCCTTCTAAAGTGTAGCCCCGTGCATCAAAATTTATATTGATATTAAATTCATAAATGCGACATTTGAAATATTGCTTTGAACCAAATGTATTCAAGAAAGACTGTATCATTGATCAAAACTTGGTGTACCTTATAGTGACCCGGCCACTTGCGAGTATTTGATGGAACAAGACTCGTCGCCTTCTTCAAATATACAACCGAATGAGCAACCGAATGTGCAAACAAATGAGCAACTGACTGAGAGAGAGCATGAAAGAGAAGTTGACATCGATATCGCTGAGAACATTGGTAGTGAAGGTCACGTTAAAAATGTGCGGGCAATTTTTTCTAAAGAATAGTAAAATTGATGCTCGGCGGATAACACTTCTATTTTGGGAAGGTCATTTGTATACTTCATTGCTACTCCTCAGTTTCACTAAAAGGTTCATATATACAAGACACTATTCTTATATAATTCTTAAAATAATTAATATACCAGTTCTGTGTTTTTAAAATTTGCGTCAAGCATGTTAGCAAATCATTCATCTATATCCTGTTTTTCTAAGATGGGAACAGAAACGCAATCGCAATTTTCTAAGTAAGGCGTGGGCGAAATTCTTGTTACTACGAGCTAATATATCCGGTTCCAGACATAAAATTATTGGATGCGTCGTGACACATTCACAACACGAGTCATGCACGAATTCAATCAATTTAAGACGCCCAGATTAAATGAGATTGACTATAATTAAGGTAAGAGTATACACGTAACGGCTATCAGCTCATATAATTATATAAGACTCGAGCTCGTGGTATAATTGTTACATATTTAACAGTTATTCTGCGAACTCGAGTCGTATATGAGCTGATATCGGCCATATATACGACGAGAGTGAGCAGAATAATTGTTTTATTATATACACAAACTTTGTCGCCCTTTCGTTGCATTTTGGTGTGCTATTATCAACTAGGCTTGGATTTCTATTTCACTCAATTCCCCAAATCTTTCCGCCATTTTGTTTACTTTCTCTACTAGACAGATATGAGCTAATATCTGTCTAGTAGCCAACCAATGAAATTGCAGCATACCTCATATCTGGTGCTTGTGTATATAATAAATATATATATATATATATATATATATATATATATATATATATATATATATATATATATATATATATATAATAAAAATAATATTGTCCGTACTTGAACAAAGAGTGCTCAATATCAATAAATAGAGCAAAATAAATAAATGTTTAATCTAAAAATATTTTCATCGCTACACAGTGTTTCACGCTCAAGGCGATCATCAGGCGATTGGATACATTTAACGGTTTTTCTGAAGCGTAAGGATAGCATACTAGCGCGTGCGCTATATGCACGCAGTATATATATACATATATGTATATATATATATATATATATATATATATATATATATATATATATATATATATATATATATATATATATATATATATATACATACCGCTTTCCGGCCATATTCGACCATGGTCGAGTATACCGTTTTCCGGCAATATTCGACGCTTGCAAGTTGCAACTTGATATAGATGTTTGTATATGAGTACCAAACATGCTTGAAACTTTACACAGCACCAGCATTAGACCATTTAACCTGCGTGGTTATCCATATCAAAATATTTGACATCATAACCAAAGCATGGTTATTTTGTTTAATGTTCATATATATCACCACAAAATATGCTTGCAACTTTCCATAGGAACAGCATTTGACCATTAAAACAGCGTGGCCAGAATTAGACCATGGTCGAGTGTGAAATTTTCCGGTATATTCGACCATGGTCGAGTATGCCGTTTTCCTGTATATACTCGACCATGGTCGCGAGTATGCCGTTTCCCGGTATATTCGACCATAGTCGAGTGTACAATTTTCCGGTTTATTCCACCGTGGTCGAATGTACCGTTTCTCCGTATATTCGACCGTGGTCGAGTATACCATTTTCCGGCGTATTCGACCATGGTCGAGTATACCGTTTTCCGGCCTTATTCGACCATGGTCGACTATACCGTTTTCCGGAACACAGGCCTATGTATTTATTTAGATATTGCTATCCTTATTTGTAAAGTGTAATTATTGGGAATAAAATTCATTTGTGGGTACAAACAAACTTTACTGCTTAAAATAAATAAATCAAAATTGCTTAAAATAGGTAAAATGCTTATGTCGAACAATTATACACTTGTGAGTCGCAACAAGGTGCTTAGGCATTCAAACTCTAACTATTACATTATTATGGGTGGTTTCAATAGTTTTGGGTGGTTTGGAACACCCTGTATACAGAGTGTATAAAATAAACTCCATAATTTGTATGTACGAGATAATAAATTGGAATTTTAATGAATGTGCTACTCTTTCAACAATACTTTGGCAATTTCCACTTTGTGTGAATTCGAATCAAACTTGTGTGGAATTTCTCAAAGTGTAATGAAATAAATGAAGAGCATAAAGATTATTGTTATTATTAGGATTTCACATTCAATAACATACTAAATACGAGTAATAAAATTAATAAAAAGCCTCAATTCGCCGATATCTGCTCAACTATATGATCCATAGGAAATGACGTGTGCCTTGCAAGAACTGAAGGATGTTATGAAAGAAGTGCTTCGAAATGGCTAGAATGAATAAATTTTGAAATGTCACAAGCAGCAAGAATGTTTGAGTGGTTTTAATTGAGAGACACGTCGCTTGCAAAGTGATAGCTTGAAGCACAAGATATATGCCGAATAACATATCGTGCCTAAAGTGACGTATAGCGTAGCTATAATAATAATACAACATGTACAAAGTATTCTTATAACGTTAAATCACAAGGACACACCTACGTAGGGGACGGTACAACGGTGAATATTAGTAAAGATAAAAGAAAAACCACAAATGTGTTAAATGTATATAACGTTCACATCGTGAAGCCGAATAATGAAAAATATAAAATTAACAAAAATTAATTTAAAATTTACCATTATACATGCGAAAACACGTACACATATAATAAATTTGGCGCTACCAACATTTTTTAATGACATATTTTATCAGATGTATATGCTTGAATATGAAATTTCAAATTTGGACACATTCCAATCGAAGACGATCGATTCATTAGACTAATATCAAAATTCCCTCTTTAAGTCAATCAAGATGTAATCATTCTGTTCTGCAGTTTAGTGAAATTGTAAAAAAAATTTTGATTTTAATGGATGGTAAAAATCTACGATTTTGAACCTTTTTTAGAATGTGTATCTTAAGGCACGTATTTATTTATTAACTAAGGCCATGTTAATTAACTATCTCTTTGAAGTTAATTGGAATTAGGTAAGAAGTCATTTCAAACTATTAAAGTTTAATAAAGGTGAATCTGCTTGAAAAGCAGTTAAAATTTCGCTAAAAATTGTAGTATTTAAAACTACTCGTAGCACACTTATAGCTCGAGAATATTTTACTGTTGGAATTATGTCAATTGCTTCAGGCGAGGGAATATTTTATTGCATGCCTGTATTCTGGTTGCAGATATAATTCAGTGATATAATCCAGTTGGCTTGCCATTGTGTCATGGATGTTGTGCAATTTTCGAAGTTATGCGCATGCGTGAGTTAAGGACGACTTGAAACTGGTAATTATATAGCAAACGTTGTAAACCGTACGATTGGCTAAATTGATTAAATAAAACTCTTTTAAAATTATGTTATTAGTCTCTGATCATCTTGAAAATATGCAGAAAATTGTATTTAATTAAGATGAATATTATATATGTATATCGAATCCGAAATTATTATATTATACATACCTTTAGTAATATAAAAGTTTAATTATCATTGACTATTGTATAATTTTATCAGTCCAAAATTGTAAAGTGGGTAAAATTATCTTTTATTTAAAAAATTATTTTGCGGTTTTTCGCCGCTTCGTCTGAATTTTTTGGGGGAAACCCACTGACCATAACTTTTTTGGGGAAACCCACTGAGTTAATAATACGCCTCGATGCACGAGGAATGGTTATTAAATGTATGATTTTCTTAGAACGCGTTTAACAATGCAGGGCGTATATTATATAAAACTATTGCTAAATGTTTCGTAGCACTTGGTCATTAATCAATTCTTCACTGTTAACAGTGTTCGGTGGATATAAGCAACAAGTCAAGGACGTGTTTTATCTTAGTAAGTATTGAAATAAATCATGAATTAATATTTTGACTTGCATTTATAGTATATAATCATGGCATTCAACTATTCAAATGTATCTATGTAGTATATGCAGGTAATGCAGTCTTTATAGTATTTGTTTCTACTATATTTTTTTTGAAGTGGTCATCTGGTCGTTCTTACTGTACGTAATACATTTAATGATATTATCGTATTGTATATTGTCTCCCACGATAGTGTCAGTAATTTCTATGACTATGTTGTAACAATTAACTATAAATCCGGCTGGAGACAGCCGGAATGTGGGAAATCGTTCGTTTGGCACAATATAATTGTCATTAATAGCGATACTGATTTCGAATTTGAACCGTAACCACCAAGTCTAATATCCTAGCAGATTAGTGAAGAGAAATTTGGGTATGGGATGAAGTATGGCTAACAGTTATATTCATTAGACAGCACATTGGTTCTGTTAATAACTATGGATATGGACAGGCCTGTTGAAATGAAATTGCTGAAATTCTGCATTTTTCTCATTTTTCCAAACATATAATTCAGCTCATATATACAACCACAGCGAACCAAAATATTGTGAAATATTCTGACTGTTGTTCTTAATATTTTAAGAAATATAGTTTTAAAAAGAGCATTTGTTTACAATATGATATGGACCATAGTGGAGGTCAAGTCCATAGGTGTAAACAAATTATTAGAGCATGTTAAATTGCTTGTGGGATAAATGTCTTAAAGAGCACAGTGGATAGTACACCTGTTTAATAATAGACTAAGCATGTTGATCGAGCCATTTACCAAGAGGCATTATTGTCAACCAAGAGTTTATTTGTTTTAGCACTGTCAATTGTTGTAAATCTATCAAATTCTTCCTTTTTTGTAATATTGTATTATTTGTATAGTTCTTTATCAACATGTTAAGTTAACATTGTTATAAGCATGGTGCCAATTAAATCTTTGGCCAGCATGACTGCAAAAACAAACAGATGTTTTGAAAAATGTACCACAAGAAAAGACAGTTATAGTGGCATCATTAATGCTAAAAAAGATTTAAACAGTTTTTTTTAAAATAAACCTTGCATACAAATTATTTCAATGTCTTTCCTAATAATATATATTACATATTTATAATATATTATCACATTTATCATTTATTAATATTGTCATCAATATTTTAACTTCTCTCTATAATAATAGTAGTAAATGGTTCTATGCACATTTTTAGTAGGTTTCCTTTAGCCTCCTCTGCAGGCATCTCTTATGTATTAAAAATATGCATATTTGGCTTAGGCTAGCTGCGTGGAGATGCATGTGGAAGAGGCTAGATTTACTCTACATTGAAGGTTATAATTTGGTAAGTTAACTTTGCATTAAAGGGATCAAGAAGGGTTTCAGTTTGGACAGGGTGCCATATCTTATCCAGCACTTGCAACCCTAATAGGGTAATAGGACTCCACTTTGTAATGTCCCACCCACTTGCAAGAGTGGTTCTACATTGTATGTAAACAAGATTTTGATCTCTTATAGCAAGATCTATAAGACTATAACGTCTGATTTCATCATTTTTTAGTCATCCGTTTTACTAATTATAAAATCAGTAAATGACAGTATATATATAGACTTTAGTTGTTTCAGTCATTTTATATATATATTTGGCTCGTTATCAGCTGTTCTACTTATTATTCAATATTTTTGTCGTTCCAAAAATTGGTAGAGCAGCCGACTCTTTTATTTCAAGAAAAATACATTTACACACCAAGAGCTTCAGCGAGTCAATAATAATAAAATTATGATTATCGTCGTCCTGTTATTAATGGCATGTGCAATTTTCTTTTATATTGAATGAATATAATGTAATCTGATTATATGAATATCTGCTTAGGTAAATCATATTTTTCTTATTACCAGTTTTAACACGTAGTTATCTCAATAATTTTTCAGATAGCAATTGCTAATGGCGAATGAAGATGAACCGTGTTGCCGCACATTTACGTCTGTTTGCCTCAAATTATCTCGAAATGTGCCGCGAGACAAACTGAAGCAGTTAAATTTCTTGCTTCAAGATATCATGCCAGAAATCGACATTCATGACGAAAAACCATTTGTGGAAGTGATAAAGAAGCTTGAAGCCCGTGGAGTTCTAAACCGGAATAAACCTGGGCAGAACGAGGCAGTACTACTCTATGAGTTATGTGATGCAGTTTCATTGAACAGTCTGGGTGACGAGATATGTTTGGATTTTGCACTTGAAAGAGGTACAGTATATTTAATTTAAACAAATAAACAAAATATGAGATAAAAATATTTAGGGGTAAGTAGAACTGACAAAAAGCAACTTTCTGTTCATGAAAACGGGTTTTTAAATTCAATTTGACATTTAAACGTTCAACGAAAGCCTGTCACACAACTAAAGTGTTTATTCAATATTTTTTTGAATAGCTGATTATAATAAGTAGTATTTTCAACTTTCAAGACTCAAGTAGTAGAACTAAATAAAGCTTGGCTATGCCGCTGGATACTATACTGTATATTACTGATATAGTAGAGTTTATTTATCGAAATGGTCAAAATTTCACGTGTAATAAAATATGATTATTTCAATGCACATTATTTGTAACAATCGACAAACATCTTTACTAGATCCTTTGCATCATATGCGTATCTCGTCATTCAGAAAACTTCTAGTAAAGTTATCTGACGAATTAAACCAGGATTTTCTTATCGATAAAATGAGGGAATTCTTAGCCAATACATTAGATGGTGAAATTCCACACAGTTTGGGCGATGAAGACGTTTCCGCCATAAGTATCTTTCAACGCATGGTTCAAGCTTGTTTAATCTCGGAACAAAATTTATCATTGTTGGAAGAAATGATAGTATTTTGTTCAAGAAATGATCTTCTGCAACGCATTGATGATTTCAGGAACAAGAACAATATTTTCAAGAAAGGTACGTTTGTATAACACCACGAAAAACGTCTGCGCATGCGCCAAATTATGAAAATATCATGGGAATTTGAATACCAACTTTGGAAACAACTAATGCGTACTAAATGTTAAAATTTACTGTCAGTTGAAGCATAAATGCATTTCATATGCATTTTGATTTAAAATAAAATCAGGCGAAGAAATGTACGCCGTTAATTGCACCGTTTCCGATAAGTCGTGTATTAAATGGACGACTTGCGCTTAAAGGCGGATTTCCACTTACAGCGAAATCGTTCGCTGGCGAAATATTTGCATATTTTCTTTTGAATTAAGAGCACTCAAGTCGCACTAATTTATTTATGCTGTTTAAATTCAAAAGAAAATATGCTAATATTTCGCTAGCGAACGATTTCGCTGTAAGTGGAAATCCGCGTTTAGACTAATTAACTTTTGATCGAAGTAATAAGAAGAAAATGAATCACCACAGCTACAAAGAGCGTACTTGAATTACTCCAATGCAAAGTTTGGCTGCGAAATTTTGTAAAATTCGGAGCCATGCGAGGTTGGCATAATTATTTTGTATACTTTTGTATTATACGCACGGAATGTGCAACGACCCTGTAACTAATTTAGTTACAAACTTCCGGCCGTAATACAAAAGTATGCAAAAATCGACAACTTAGCATGGCTATATTTTCCGTAATTTACAACAATTCACAGCCAAACTTGGTAGTTTTACTAATTTTAGTAAGCTCTTTCCGAAAATTTCCTTTTTACCGCTGAGATAAGATATTAGTCTAAAGCGCAAGTCTTCCATTACATGTCGAAATGTTTTTTCGTGAGTATGATAGGACTCCTATAATCTCGCTATTGGGACGTCAAATTGAAAATTGGACTCTCTGTCTCTTCACTGACATTTAAATCCCTTGTTTCTGACAGTTTTAATTTTGATATCGTAGTTCCGTTTGGATTGCGCAATCTTCCTCGAGACATGGTGGAACGCCAAGCAGAAGTAAACGACATATTAAGCTTGCTCAGTGCAGGCAATAACCTTGTGGGCGTGGTTGGGGTTCGCACCGGTGACATAATTGGTATACGCGGTATGGGAGGCCTAGGGAAGACTGTCTTAGCCCAGGCTATTGCGTGGAAAGTGGCAATGACTCGTCAGGTTATCTGGCTTGATATTGGTCAAACTCCTGACTGCTTAGCACTGATAAACACTCTCGTAAAAGCTCTCGGAGGGTCAATGTCATTTAGTGATATATCCAGCGCGCAGGCCTGGATACGAGCAAATACGGTACGCACATAAATTTGCACGTAACATCCTGTATTTGTGTCTCTAATTGGTTAAGATTGATTATAGAAGCCGCTTAATTGTACTGACTATTACTATGCGGAAAATAGTGATTTTTGGTTTGACACACTAATTCGAAAATGAGCATAATCACGTAATGTAGGCCCGGATCCTTTGTCAAATACCTTATTAGGCTTATATCAGTTCATGCATGAACCGGGCAAAATTGAAAAATTTGTGATGCATTTTGAAGGACACTGTTCTCACTTTGTCTGTAGTTTTTGTAATTTTGTCTCAATTGTTCTGTTTTAATGTATTCTGTGGACGTTTAAACCCAACGAAAAAATAAGAATACACAACCAACTAACTCACATGCACCATTTGTGTGTAGGTGAATAAGGACTGCTTGGTCGGATGACGTCTGGAATGTTGACGACGCTGGGTCTTTGATTATCTTGGAAAATGTCAATATTGATAACTACCAAGATTCGATGTCGTTCGGCCTAAAAGCTTCAGCTCTGTACGAACTACAAACTATGGCACAGAATAAATCGAGGGCGCTTTTATACCAAAGCGCACAAGTTACCGATGACGAAAAATCCATGTTTAGCACAAGAATGCAGGCAATTGTTGTCGAACTACTGGAGCAGTGCCGTGGCTTGCCACTAGCTTTGTCACTCGTAGGCTCAAATTTAATTGACTCCCGGGCCGAACAAGACTGGCAAGATGAGAACTTAAAGGATGCCAATTTGGAAGAACTAAGGTCTTTTTTTCCAAAAGATTCTTATCCCTACGATAACCTTTTGGCTGCCATTAACGTTAGTTTTGAGCGCTTGGAAGAAAGCCATCGAGAGAGGTTCCTCGACTTCGCGATATTTCCAGAGGACACAGATATACCATCTGATATTCTTGAGCTCTTTTGGTCTTCGGGCGATTCTGGGAAACGCACGTGCAACGCTCGGATGGGAAGGCGCATTCTTACTGTCCTTGAGAAGAAATCATTGATTCAAAAAGGTATTTATAGGACAGGGGACAGAAGGAGCTAGAAGACGATTAGTACAGCAATATAAAAACTTTTTCGACAAGTCTAATTACTTCAATGCTGCTGGACGTTAATAGTAGAAACAACCAAATACAATGAAACTCTTTTCCTATATTAAATAAATTGTTCACAATGGAGCAGTGATCCCCCAAACACTTTTCAGCGAAAATAGATACAGGCGCTTAGTTGCAAAATAGTCCTATATATAGGACTGAGAATCAGATATAGCTTGCGCACGTTAGCAATTTGTTGGGTTGAAGGTGTATAACTTCTTAGACAGACTGTAACAGATGTGTTGGGGCATCGGTTCTATATACGTACAAAACAGCCGGATAACTATTTCTTAAGCATGCAGTAAACAATCTTAAAATATCAGAGGATATTTTTTTAGAATAAACTGCATTTGCAATACGTCTTTATCTCGTGCGTTCTACATCGATTTAAACTGAATGTTATCATTGGTCTTTTAGGTCCAACACTGCATGGAAAGAACAGCTACCGTGTCCACGATCTGCTCTTAGACTTTGCGCGAGGAAAACTGCGCGACACAATAACTGATGTCCAGTGCATGTTTATCGAGGCACTGAATAGAAAATGTGTAAACGGTGAATGGGCGAAATTCCAAGGCAATAAAGATTATTACTATCATTATCTTCCCTATCATCTGCACTCTTCCGAGCAGTATGGGGTGCTGCTTAATCTCTTCTTTGACTTTCACTGGTTGGAACAGAAAGTGAAGGAGACAAATTTGCCATCTTTAATTTCCGACTTTCGCTTTTTGGGTACGGATTCGTATGAAATTAAATTACTGAAGTCATCTTTGATGTTATCTGCAGACGTGATCGAGAAAGCGCCTGATTCAATTGGTCCACAACTGTTAGGTAATGAAAAACAGTTTTTTTTATATGAGCAGTTCTTTCAATAGAACTCGATTATTGAATTAGCAACGCTTATATTATGTCTGCACATGGCCAGTTCAGTACCGGGCTAGATACACGTAAACAAAACGTGTATAACGATTTCTCGTTGTTCTATAATTATATCATTTGTTTTCGAAGGACAAAATATGCACATTAATTTATTTTCAAAACCTTTACAGTTCTACCTTATTCGTTTGAACCCAGTGAATTTATAACACACGACATAAGATACGCGCATATTTAGTATAATCTCCGAAGGGTTTCTCCATCTGTCTCTTTTATTTAATTAGTATTTAAAAAGTATTGGGAAATCGTTGCTAATCTGTTTTGAGGTGATTTACGAGTTTCATGCAGGTATAACAATTTTTTCCATACGTGTCATATACGCATGTGTACCACGTGCAGGTAGATTGCTATCGTGTGCTGACGAACACCCAGCCGTGAAGCGGCTATTGGAACACATCCGTGAAAGATGCACTAGAAAATGCCGTCTTATGCCACTATTTTCTTGCCTCTCCGAACCTGTTGGACCGCTGATCAAGATATTTAGAAAGCACGTCGATAAAGTGCTCGCGTTAACCACATCCGTTAGTTCAACGGGTACAATTGTCATCTCTGCATCAACAGACCGTTCAGTTAAAGTTCATGATCTCGAAACAGGTGTGTATAGCTATATGCAGCCATAGGCAGACCAGAAATCTGTTTATACTCAGTCTTCGACGGCATTGTTTACGCGCGGTCAGCTTCTCCTGCCTGTACTAATTACTGTATTATATATTAATATATAAGACAGTAATTAGTACAGGCAGGAGAAGCTAACCGCGCGCGTAAACAACGCAGTCGAAGACTGAGTGTAAACATATTTCTGGGCTGCCTATGGTTCTATGAAAGCCGGATAGCGCTATCCACCGAATAGGGATTTTTTCAATCCCTTTAAAATCGCCCGTTTTTTGCTATAACTTTGATTAAACCTCGTGCAGTATTTCTGAATCGAGGATCCTCTTTAATAATTTTTGGTCCCAAAGTTCAAATTTTGATTACTACTCAGCTGAAATATTTCAATGTTAATATTTTAATTGTCAATGGAAGTATACATATTAAATCCATAAGATGCAGGTTCAGCCATTCACAAGATCTGTGTATAGCGCTATCCGGCCTTCGTACAACCGTCCCCTGCATTTTCCAACAGAATTAGTACTCATCGAGCCATTACATCAAATTTTCAAGTAATAAATCTTTTCATATTAATGTTATGTATACAGGCAAAGAGTTGCAAGTGCTCAATGGTCATACGATGGCAGTGTATTGTTTAGCTTTGTCCCATAGCGGGACAATTCTGGCCTCAGGGTCTTATGACTCCACCACTAGACTTTGGAATATGGACAGCTATGAACAGCTGTTTGTTTTACAAGGAGATGGTGGCTTTGTGAATGCATTGGATTTCAGTGCGGACGATCGGCGTCTTTTTACTGGGTCAAATGATGGTTTGTGTAGCCGTGAATAATTTATTGATGTATTGTAGTGTGGAACCTATACGAGAAGGTCCATGCAGCATCCGGATGCAGCATTACTTATGCTGTACGACCGCAAGGATGTCATCCATCTTATAAGAAACTCATTTTTCATAGGGTACCTCAGGGTGTGGCTTGTCGCTACAGGTGAACTGTTTAGTTCCATTCCTGCACATAATGGTCATATCCGTGGTCTGTGCACGACCAAAGATGGTTTGTACGTTGCAACTGCATCCCTTGACCACACCATCAACCTATGGCGTTCGGATACATTAGAATTTCAGGGTTGTTTCATTGGCCATATTGATACTGTATACAGTATAGTGGCAACAGGTATGTAGTGCGACATTTATTGATAAGTACAACATCGACTGTAATGTTATGTAGCGTGCAGCTGTGGTTCTTTATTTTCTGTCCTTTCCTTCATGTTTAGGTGGTGACAAACCAACGCTTGTGTCCGGTTCCGGCGACAAGACCGTAAAAATCTGGGATTTGAAAACATGCAAGGAAGTTCGTTCTCTCTGTGGTCACCAAGGCGAGATTTATTGTGTTGCTGTGAGCCCGGACACGAAGCACGTTATCTCCGCGGGCAAGGATTTAATTGTGAGATTGTGGTGTTACCACACGGGAAAATTGCTATTTAATTTTCAAGGACATAGTCAATCGATCAGGTATAGATTTATCTGATATAACCATAAGAGTTAAGACAGTTTTATCTCGGCTCAACACAGGATGGTAGTAACATTCCTTTTCGTGAAATCTTAAGATTGACGTTCACGGCAAACCGCGAACTGCAAACTTTCAGCCATATTTGATTTGGTACGGGTACCCATTTTAGCCGTGCCGATCAATTGAGTGTAATGTAAACAGGACTTAAACCCCACAGGTTTTTTGACAGCCCTATACAACAGGGTTTCTAGATCTCAAAAAAAACGCAACCACTTAAATATGCAAGAATATTAATATTGTTCGGGTTTGCACCATAGTTCAGCTAAAATGACTTTTAGCATTGTAAATGAAGGATTAAGAGACATTTTCAATTCCCAGAGGTGCACTTTAGAGCTGTATTAGTGTTCTTGCATATTTAAGTGGTTGCGTTTTTTTTGAGACACTCTGTAGTTTAAGGGGCTGTTTACATGAGCCCGGTTACCCGAGATTCAGCGAAGCGTGAGAGGACTTTGAGGTATTGAAATAAGTCTTTATGGCACCAAACAAGCACATGCTATTGTTGTGGTGATTACACGACTGCCAGGATCAAGTGATCTGCTCATTTCAATACCTCAAAATCAACTCACGCTTCACTGAATCTCATGTAAACAGCCCCTAAATCTTATGCATGCTGCAATTTGCATGGCTATTGTCCCAAATTCATGAGAGCTAATACTACAGGGTGTATCAAAAAAAAGGAGACCTTTAGAAATCAAGCTATTGTTAAAATTTGAATGCCATTTCAATTGCATTTGCATGCACATATGCTGAACCGTAGTGCGTTAAATATTGATGGTATGCATGCATACATTAGAAAATGAATTGACGTTTGTACACAAGATTGTCTGCTCCTGGGAATTTGAAAATAACTTTAATAGCATAAGGAAAAATAACGACCCAAAAATATTCAAATGACTAAGCACACTACCAGAACAAAAATGGTTCAACTGACTTCGGAGCAAAGAGTTTTTGTAGTCTTAACTTATACCCAGCCTGCCGTCATCAGAAAAGCAGTTCGCGATATGCACAAGCGTACGGTAGTTTGTGTTGAGAGAAATGGAGGCCACGTTGAAGGTCATGGTCCATGACATTCAGTTCTTTTGATGTTCAATTTATGAGTAATTTTCAATCTGGATCGAAATGTCAAGTGAATCTGTGTCAGATCAAGTTGTAATTCATTCCTGACTCATGTAAACATTTTAATAGGCAGATTTCGTAAAATGGGATGCTGAGCCATTCCGGAATAATCCGGATTCAAAGTCAATTCTAACTCATGTGAACAGCCCTAATGCTCGCACGCAGTGTTACTGAAAAATTATTGAACAAATGATTTGTTCATGTTTTAAAGGAACAGCTAAAGCAATTTACCATGCACGCATACTGTTATCGCTTTTGTGCTTAGTCGTTTGTGCTTAGTCATTTGAATATTTTTGGGTCGTTATTTTTCCTTATGCTATTAAAGTTATTTTCAAATTCCCAGGAGCAGACAATCTTGTGTACAAACGTCAATTCATTTTCTAAAGGTCTTCTTTTTCTAATGTATGCATGCATGCCATCAATATTTCACGCACTACGGTTTAGCATATGTGCAAATGCAATTGAAAAAGCATTCAAATTTTAACAATAGCTTGATTTCTAAAGGTCTCCTTTTTTTTGATACACCCTGTAGTTTACTAAAGAGTATGATTTTGAGTTTGCCGTTTGCGATTAGCGATTAGCCGTAAACATTAATCTAAAGGGATTAAGGGATGTCCATTCGGGGTCTGCTCAAAAATTGGGACCTTCTTATAGGTTCATTCAGGGTATTAATATTGGATTGTTTAGATGTCGACAGTTGAACAAATTAAAAATATCCGGTTGATTTACAATTTTTATACTCCCCCCAGACCCTACCTTTTACGTTACTTAGCAATGTTTTAAAATAAAAAGTGAACAATCTATATATCCTTATGAATTATTCGGCGAAAAGGATGTTGTCACGCTTGTCTTATAACTCAGGAATATAAGACCGTTTAAGGCTGGCTAGTGCAAAAAAAAGCTTTTTTCGATGGTTTACAATAGATGGTAAACAAAGTTTCATGAAAGTGGAGAGAATTGTAATTGAAAATTAGACTAATCCGTTTGTTGCCTTTCAGATGCGTTTCAATCATTTCCGATGGTTGCAAAGCTTTGTCTGGCTCCCAGGATAAAAGTTTTCGAGTGTGGGACCTCGACACGAGTGCATATATGAAACGGGAGAGAATACGTGGTCACTCTGATGATGTCATGGACATAGCAATCACTCGCGATGGGTCGAGATGCGTTTCCTCCTCAAAGGATGGGTCTTTAAAGATCTGGAAATGTGAGACTGCAGATGAACGCTACGCATTGACAGGTATCTGAAACTTGAATGAAAAATGAAAAAACGTTATGCTGACAATAGGATGTATAGGTACTTTCAGATGGGCAACCAATTCCAAATGGTTAATTATTCGCACTGTTAGTATCATAAACCGTTCTAGGTCACACGAAAAGAGCAATAAGTGTTGCTATTTCAGTCGACGATCGCTACGTTGTGTCGCTCGGAAAAGATTCTTTCATAAAGGTATACAGGGTGTCCCAAAAAAATGTCCCCTCTATTGAAATCAAGCCTTTGTTAGAATCTGATTGCCTTAATATTATGATAAACCCAATTGAAAGCAAGACGCTTTATTTGAATGCCTCAACCTAATAACTATGCTATTTACACACTACTGCGTTGATCATGCATTCAAATTCCAACAAAAGCTTCATTTCAATAGCGGGGACTTTTTTTTGGGACACCCTGTAGAGTATATTTTAATGCATCTAAACGGGGTTAGGGGATGAAATAAAATGGTGGGGTAACTAAAATATTGAATTTAAAGCTGGTTTAAAGAAAAATAACAATATAAATATTTTTTATAATAAAATTCACCATCCATGCATAAAATGACTGACATTTAGGAAGAGTCCACATGCCTCTTTATCAAACTTAAGAATATTATATTATAATGCTTGTTATAAAAGGGTCAAAGACGTGTTAGGGTGCATTTTTTCATCGTCTTGAAGTGGGGCAATTTTTATTAAACAAAAAAAGGAGGAGGAAACTGCAGACTGATGCGACTGATGCAAAAATTTCACAAGCCTAAGCTAAGACTAGCGTTCCTGCTTGTTAAAAGTACTGATGATGAATATTATTCTCGACCGGTTTAACTAGTCAATGGAATGGTATGAAACAGACTCACACGATATAAAAGTAGTGAAGGTCGAATATACCGGAATGTGGTATATTCGACCATTACAAGGTTGAGTGGTATCTTCGATATTGGTAAGGTTGAATATACCGGAATATGGTATCTTCCATCGTGGTAAGGTTGTCTCAATAAGTTTTATCTCAAGGTCCCAGTGTATATGATATGGGGGGGTTACGGTATGTAGATACCATTGGTAAAAAACAAGCAAATATAATGTGAAACGTGATGATTTTTGCCTTTTAAGGTTTGGAACATGGAATCTGGGAACGAAACAAATGTAATTGAAGGCGACAAACAAGCTCGGTTTGTTTGCTTCAGTCCGGAAGGAGAATTAGTCCTAATTGGATGCAAAGACGATCGTTTTTTTATGTGGAATTGGAAGAAATACGATGTGCCTATCAAGTGCGTTAAATTATCCGCATTTACCACCATGGCCATCGCATGTGACAGGAATTTAGTTTACACGTGTGGTAGAAATAGCGAAGTGTGCCAAATTGATCGCTCATCTTCGCTACAAGTGACAGCCATTAGCACAGGGCCCAATCCGAACTGTACATCGATGGTGATATTACCTAGTGGTGCAGCAGTTTTGGCAGGAATACCTACATATAGTGTATTCATCTATTGGGAACTGTCATCATGGCGAGAAATACGATATGACGCGGGTATGTAGGAAACATGCACGAGTAGCTGACGTACCCGGGGGCGTACTGGATGGTCCATAGAGATACCAGAATTTTCTTAGGCCTCATGATTTATTCAACATTTTTGTAATGCAATTCACATCCACCTCGTATGTCTAGTCTATTATGAGTTTTAGGTTGTGCCCAAGTTTTCTCGACATATCATGATTTCTTGAAACCTTGGCCTTGGGGGTGATAACTAAGACCTTTCTTTTGCCTATAGCCAATATTTTACAGTTATTTTGCCTGAGTATAAATTTCCGTTATATAGGCATGCAATAGTAGAAAATATTGACACATGCGGTGACATTACCACATTCATTCGATACTTGAAATGATCTGCTTTGTGTTTGATACAGTAAAGCTGGATAATACTTCCACCCTATGATTTTCGCCATTTCCTGAATTCACGCTGTATACGTATTTCCTCCATAAATATGCCTCTGCTTTAAAACTATGGGAAGCCTCATTTTTAACTATGTTTCACAGTTTCCTGTGAAGATATTTTAATATCTTTTTGGGACAAATTATGATCTGGTCAGTAAAATTAGATCTATATATAGTGTTTTTCTTTCAGGACATCCAGACGAATCAATCGTAACTGCAATTGACATAACCTCAGATGGCAAACTGGCATTGTCTGGAAGCAGCTCAGGCACTATTTCTTTGGTGAACTTAGAGAGCTCGAAAGTATTGCAGACTTTCACAAAGACCGAATCTGGGGATGGCATACGCTTGCTTCGTATTCTGAGAGACGATAACAACTTTGTAGTTGTGAACGAGACTAATACAGTAGAAATGAGAAATTTTGATAACAGATCTGGAATGGTCATGTCTCAACCACCTTTTAAAGTTAATTGTGTAACCACTCTTGGTTTAAAATATATTCTCCTGGGCTGTGCCAATGGAGATTTATTATTGTACGATTATCTAGAATGCCTTGATCGCGAGTACAAGTACCAAGGGCATTCCGAATCCGTATCTCAAGTTGAAGGTCATCCAAGCAATGAATACCTCTACTTTTTATCCGGATCTGAAAATGGGTCAGTAAAACTGTGGTATGTTACAAAAACAACGCCCCCAGTATGGAGTCAAATGTGGTCACGTGACTGCATCCACTCACATCCAATAACTGCACTGGCTTTCGTTCCAAACTCCGAGGATGTCGTGAGCGGTTCCTATGGAAACGAGGTTTGTTTATTTTTTAGAACATTGTAATAACTTGATTTGCACGACAGCCTGTTTTAGTTCTTGTGAAGGAGAGCCTAACGGTATAATGGTAGGGTAGCGTTATTTGTTTTAAACAAATCGGCACGTTTGTTCACATTTTTCCGTCTTAGCCAATCAGAATGCCTAAACTTTGTATACTTCATGTAAAATAAAGTACTTTTTACTGAATGTAGCAAATGAATTTGACAGGTACACCGAATAAACGCGACAGGAATCGTGCGTACATACAAGTATAGAAGTTATGGAATCGCAGCGCTGCGTGTCGTGGGCACCTCACTTGTTGCCGCCTGTATTCGTGGTCTTACTGCGGTGAAATGGAGTTTAAGCGAAGGCCATGTGACCAAGAAAGTTCACACCGGCGCTGGTAGGGAGCAAGTATCACGTTTCAACCACACTTGCGATCATGTGGCCTCAAAAGGTTATTAGTTATTACTATACTATACTGATTTTTATCAATTTGCCATGACATTGCTATCTTACTTATATGTTTATGCAATTTTTGCAATTTAGGTTCTCGTCATTCTCTGTTGTTTTGGAGTCTCGAAACTGGAAGAACAATCCATAAACTTCGTGGACACACACATGATATCAGGGCCTTGGCATTTGTGCCCGGAGGTCAATTTCTATTGTCAGGTTCGCGCGACAAGACTCTAAAACTGTGGAATCTACGATCTGGTTGCTTAGTTGAAGAGTTTCATTTTGAGCGTTTTGTTCTGGCCATTGCGTGTGCTCCAAATGGGATCGTTTGTGTAGGATTGCAAGGCGGTCAAGTCTGTTTTTTACGCCTCAATAATTTATAACCGTTTACAAGAAGCTTTAACAATAATCCTATCCTAGCACTTGTCTCTTTAAGCGCGAATGAGAGCTGGAAACGCATAAAGAATATACATGCTTATGTATTTCACATGATATTTCCTTTGTTATCCCAGTCTGTTGCTTTGTTTCTACATTGTACTTTTGTAGATAGATCTGGAATGTAATATATCAATTCCATTTTATTAAACCCTGCACGAGTTTCAAATAGTTATTAGTTCCATGCGCTACTACACCTAATGATCAAGAGCAGTCATGTCAAGCACTGAAAAGTACGATGAGCCTCGTGAGCGTCAAGACTTTTCTGCTGCGACTTCTTTGTCAGAATATGTTTCTGCTCCATAGAAATCAGGGTTTTTTCACACTAAATGACAAACGTGACATTTTTTCGTACAAATATCTCTCAGGATGTTCCCACTGAGTTGTTAGAAAAGTATGCCTGTAAATGAAAATGAAATTTTAGGGGAACAGGCCTCGATTCCAATAAAATCCGTTGGGTATATTTGATTCTATTATATTTAAAAACAATTATACAGAAGATTAGAGCGAGTGATATATAATACCCAATGTATCCTGCACCCGCTGCATGATCCTATGATTCCTATCTATATTCTATCTACTCTATTCCATCCTCATTCTATCTCGATGTAATATATCCCTCCATCGGTCATGAAGCAAACTTCCCAGCCTGTTGGGAGAAGAATTTCTTTCTGACTTATTCTTAGATTAATTATCGTGGATTGCTTGCAGCTAAACGGAGATAACGAAGCGGCTTGATTCTGTCGGTTTCTACCTCAATCATCCATTCCGCGCTACTGCTAGCGTTCCGGTGGTAGAACGATGAGTTGATAAAGGTGGGCTTACTGGGCTATACCTTCCATTCTACCTTACATACCAGACGCAGTTTCTCTATTTTCTAGAAACGCAGTTCCGCGTAACTTGTTTTCTGTACTTTAAGATCTAAAAGGCAAGACTATATTGCTCCGCAGCATTTATGTTATACCGGCTTTATTTCCGAATAACAAACATTATTTTCTAAGATTGATGTTCCCTGCAACTGCATGTTTAAGCCTTTGAGGCTGTTGCACAAGTGGAGCGCGCTGCTTCATCATGACTCAGCATTGTCCGAATTTAATTTTGTAGATATTATAAACTTCAACAAAGCTTGAGAAGAATACCTGTTTTTTCAAGTGGAAGTAATTCCGGTGGTTTCAAGTTTCACAGAAATTAGGAACATATCAGTCTATCAGCTGAGTAACTTCAAAGACTTCAAGAAGTTGTCGAGCTGACGCTTCTCCTAATCGTCCCGAAGATATCGTCCTAAATTAAACGTGTTTTCAGGTAGGTTGCTATTTCGAATATATTTATGTCCATTAACATTGCTTTTCACCGGTAACAGGTTTGCGTGCGAGAACAATTTCTAGTAGGGAAGGTCCACTGGCACTGTGAAGGATTTCATTGTATTTAAATAAAGGCGCTCGCTTTGTATGTGACAGTGTTAATTATTTCACTCATTTTATTCTTTTAAACCATGCATTCGTTTAGTACTTTTTGAGCACGCACATTATTTGCCATTTTTATGATCACATTTTTATGACACAACATTCCACGTAATCGGAGATCATAAAATACAGGTACTAGATCATTTTGCTGATTCATGCTTATCTGGCATTTTGCAACTCTTGTAATTATAAACTGAGGTTGCCATACTGAGCAAAGAGCTCTTGCAACAATTTAATCATTTCAGGGCCTGGGTTTAAATTTTCCTAACAAACTACGTATTAAAGCCCTAACAAAATATCATGTGCAATAGTCAAAATATCAACAAAATATCATGTGAGTGTTGCAAAGTTTAAATTTTATTTTGAACATAGCACCAGAGCAAAAAAATTGTAGTTCATGGCAATTCACAGCTGAATTGTGATTTGTTTACATTTTTCTGATATAACCTAGGAGCTGAAACATGAATTAGCATTTTAAAGCTAAGCTATGAAACCTCATTTGTATTTATTTAATGAGACTGCATTGTGATTCAGATTAGTTAGTCTTTATAGACTTTGAGGTGAAACCTTTTAATTACTGATGTATATATAATGAGGTTGATTACTGATGTACACAATCAGTCATGTTCTATTTAATGCATGTAATAAACAAAACTAAAATTTTTACCTATATTAATCCAATGTGGAGTCTATGAACATGTCCAAACTGTTCACTGATAATCAAATATTAAATTGTAAAAAGCATTTACAGAGAATGTCCAATTCTCAGGACCATTCAAAGTAAATTCTTCAAATATTGAGCACATACTGGATTTTTTCTGAATATTTATGGTTACTATTCATGCTCAAAATATAAGCCCAGTGGTATGCAAAAGTGTGTATATCAATTATAAAAGTTTTCCTAAATCACATGACCCAACCCCCCCCCCTCGTCCCCAATCATGACTTGTTTGCAATGCCCTCACAAAGAGTTTTTGGTCCTATGAACCCTACTCTGCTTATTCCTGTTGTCCATATATTTCCAAATGATACAATTTAAACTAAATCATAAGTCAGGGAATATTGTAAATTATTTGAGATTTGTATCTGAGTTTCAGTGCTTAATAGCTCATGCAAATTAGGGTTTCAGAAGTAAGATATAGTGTATGTACATGCATATCGCCTAACCAAGGGGCTACCTCATTAAAATTACCATTTATAATAGTAGTTATTAAAATAAAGCTTTTCGACTGCATTTTAGCTTTATATTAATTCACAGGCAAAACGGGTATAGAAATAGTAAAATAGTAATAACATGGAATAACTAGTACTCGGACTGGGGTCCAGAGACCAGAGGACTGTTTTTTGCCAGATATGCAGCATATGCAATGTTTTGTTAAGCAGTACGTAATTCGCTTCGTTCGCTTGTACTACCCTAATAATAAAACAATCTGAAAATATGTTGTTCTATGACTCCAGAATTTCCATTGTTTAGTGAAAAAAATTCATCCTACTTTCCGAAAGCTCTTCCGAGAAGATCATAATTTGAATTGAATTGAAGCAAAGTATTTCGATAACAATACACTTAAGTGCAGTGTCCTTGAAATACTCTGAATAACCTGTAATTTATCTATCGTGTAATAAATAAAGCGCCCTTGGTATGAAGATATATTGTCCAGTTTAGATGACGATATCAATATTGTCATTGAATTTCTCTGCCGAGCGACAGTGCATGTCGAAACACGGATTAGTAATGCGCACTTGTATGCATTGGTATAACTTTTTATGGGCCTGCAATGATATTTGAAATATCAAATTTTGCATAACTACAGGCATATAAGAAGACGCGTTTACCGTTTTCCGCGACAATTTGCTTTTCCCACATAATGATCAAAGGATTTTACGAAAGATTCATGTGTATCATGTAAATTTGTGTGGTATTCGGCGGTACGTAGCTATACACCTGTGGGGAGTAAAAATCTTGCTGTCTCACATTGTATTTTCTCTAATCCATGCGCGCAGAAACTCATCGTGTCTCTCCTTTCCTTTTGGGGGAAAAATAACTCACAATCTCGTGTGGTCCGCAAAAGATACGGCCAAAGGGCAAAGAGGTATTAAATACTCTTGTCTGTTTCAGACCAGAAGTTCTTCTAACCTCATACGCCAGCCCGATCCAAGTATTTTATCCTTTATTTACCAGAAATAATTATACTCAATCCTTCTTTCTCATGTTCATCCATTTTACAAGCTAAACTTAAGACAAAACTTAAGACATATACTCATTTGTCAAATATTTTCGACCTTCTCGAATATACTCACGGTAACATTTGACCATGCACATGCAAAATCAAAAAATGTACGCAAATAATGAAGCGATAAACTGGATGAAGACATAGAACTCGTAATGTGAATGGTGTTCGCTATCTCAAAGTATTTTTCTCAGTTTAGCACATTTCAGAGATCAATTTCGTTCGGCGGTCCAAATAGCGAAAAAAATCCAGTAATTACGCGTTATGGTTACCTTAAGTTACCCATTCATTTTAGTCATGAAAGACGAGGACCTTAAAATTGTGCAGACCTCTGACCTCAAACAGAAATGCCCTTCATTTCAAGAAGGCTGCCCATTCGCCAAAGTTGTTGATAAGCAGCTGATGCAAAGTATCGAAAAATGTCCGCAGTTCCAGAACGGGTGTCCTTTTAAAGATGCAAAAAGTCTTGCTGACATTTACGAGGAATTGTCTCATGTGCCACACTCGGCTGGACATGAAAGTGAATTCTCCGGTCAGAAGTTGATTGAGATATTTAAGAAAATGCACGACACTTCTGAGTGCCTGGAAGAAAAGATGGGAGATTGTCCGGTGTTTCATAAAGACGACGGATGTCCATTCAAAAATGTCCGCGATGTAGAAGGCAAGCACTTGGTGGAACCTGTTGAGTCTGTTGCCCATGATCAAGTATGTAATTTATTTTTTTGTCGCAAGAGACCAGTAAATACAATAACTATACAATAATGTCAATATCAAATGTGGTCTAACAGCTTCCTAAAATAGACAAAACACTTCGCGACGTTTTGACCTGAGGGCCTTCGTCAGTAGAGTTATATAGTATGAAAATAGATCTGGGAGAATACAATGTTTTGTATGAAGGCAAAATATGGGGTTTTGTTTCGGCCCTGCGCGGCGGTTATTAAACAAAACAAAGCTCAGCGTTGAAGCCTTAAAGGAAAATCACACCTAATGTAACATTTTTCCAGATTAATCTATTTGATTTTATTTTCTGATAAGTTTGAACCTTTCTTTTACTGTTAGCACGTCATTGAGGAGCTACAAGAGATCGATGCCACGCAGTTACAACAGCATTGTCCTGCATTTAAAGATGGCTGCCCATTCACCAACCTGGAAGACCAAAATATGAAAGATGCCATTGCAAAATGTCCCGAGTTCAAAAACGGTTGCCCATTTAAAGATGCCAAAAGTTTCGCAGAAGTTTACGAGAAGTTATCCCATGTTCCACATTCCGCTGGACATGAAAGCGAATTATCCGGTATAAAGATGATTGAAATGTTTAAGAAAATGCACGACACCTCTGAATGTCTGGAAGAAAAGTTGGGAGACTGCCCCATATTTCACAAAGATCAAGGATGTCCATTCAAGAGTGTCCGAAATGAGGAAGGCAAACATTTAGCGGAACCAGTTCAGTCCGTTGCTCATGAACAGGTACGTAACTTCAAGTCTGCTTTCCACTAGGTGATTAATAAATAGCGAAAAATCGAAAAAATGTTTCTCTAGATAATCAAATTGCCGAATTCATTGTTCACGCAAACAAGTGCACTCGTTAAAAACCCCCGGATAAACTGAGATAAAAGACGCGCTTCTAATCTGCGAGTATAACGGTAATCGTGAGCAAAATAAAGATCGTGATACAGTAGATATGTACTGTATCTCTTGACTGGTTTGCAACTTTCTTTCCTTTTAGCACGTCATTGAGGAGCTACAAGAGATCGATGCCACGCAGTTACAACAGCATTGTCCTGCATTTAAAGATGGCTGCCCATTCACCAACCTGGGAGACCAAAATATGAAAGATGCCATTGCAAAATGTCCCGAGTTCAAAAACGGTTGCCCGTTTAAGGATGCCAAAAGTTTCGCAGACGTTTACGAGAAGTTATCCCATGTTCCACATTCCGCCGGACATGAAAGCGAATTATCCGGTATAAAGATGATTGAAATGTTTAAGAAAATGCACGACACCTCTGAATGTCTGGAAGAAAAGTTGGGAGACTGCCCCATATTTCACAAAGATCAAGGATGTCCATTCAAGAGTGTCCGAAATGAGAAAGGCAAACATTTAGCGGAACCAGTTAAGTCCGTTGCTCATGAACAGGTACGTAACTTCTAGTCTCCTTTCCACTATAGGTGATTTAGCGAAAAATCGAAAAAATGTTTCTCTAGATGATCAAATTGACGAATTCATTGTTCACGCAAACAAGTGCACTCGTTAAAAAACCCCGGATAAACTGAGAAAAAAAGACGCGCTTCTAATCTGCGAGTATAACAGTAATCGTGGGCAAAATAAAGATCGTGATTTGTACAGTAGATATGTACTGTATCTCTTGACTGGTTTGCAACTTTCTTTCCTTTTAGCACGTCATTGAGGAGCTACAAGAGATCGATGCCACGCATTTACAACAGCATTGTCCTGCGTTTAAAGACGGCTGTCCGTTCACCAAACTGGAGGACAAAGAAATAAAAGAAGCTATTGCCAAATGTCCCGATTTTGAAAACGGCTGCCCGTTTAAGGATGCCAAAAATCTCGCAGACATTTACGAGAAATTGACCCATGTTCCACATTCAGCTGGACATGAAAGTGAATTATCTGGTAAAATGATGATTGATATGTTCAAGAAAATTCATGATACTTCGGAATGTCTGGAAGAAAAGTTTGGGGACTGTCCTGTGTTTCACAAAGATCAAGGATGTCCATTCAAGAGTGTCCGCAGTGACGATGGCAAGCATTTGGTGGAACCTGTTGTGTCTGTTTCTCATGATCAGGTATACACCGTTTTCAACTATATAGCATCGATTTTTGAAAATTTCTTTTGAAAAACATCAAATAATTCTATTAAATCTATGGCCTCTTTCCTAAGAATATATAGAGTGTCCAAGGTTTGGGATTCTGGACAGTACTGTATGCCTAATATGCAAAAATAGGTGAAGGCCACAAGAGAATTATTTTGCTGCGTATGACTTGACGAATTCGGTTTCCCTTATGCACGGTTGTATGCAAAACTTGCAGGATATAGAGAATTATAATATCGTTTAATGCAGTCGTTTTCAGGCAGACAAATTTTATATGTTCAAAACTGATGCTGGATCTATATATTTTCTGATTTTTCATGTTTCTACCCTTGTTTCGTTGCTATAGCACGTTATGGAGAAACTTCAAACTGTCGATTCTGTTGACATAAAGCAGAAATGCCCTGCATTTAAGGATGGCTGCCCATTTACAAAGCTAGAAGACAACGATATGAAAGAAGCAATTGAAAAATGCCCGGAGTTCAAAAGCGGTTGTCCGTTTAATAGCGCTAAAAGCCTTGCTGAGGTTTATGAGAAATTGTCCCATGTTCCACATTCCGCTGGTCATGAAAGTGAATTATCTGGTCAGAAGTTGATTGAGCTGTTCAAGAAAATGCACGATACCTCTGAATGTCTAGAAGGAAAATTGGGAGAATGCCCTGTGTTTCATAAAGATGAAGGGTGTCCATTCAAGAGTGTTCGCGATGACAAAGGCAAGCATTTGGTAGAACCAGCTTCGCTTGTCGCTTCTCCCCAAAAGCCGGTACTTTCCTGTCCCACGAAGACGAAAATCATGACAACAGAGGTAGTCAACTTACAAGAAGCTTGTCCTGCATTTCAACCATCCTGCCCTTTCGCCAACGTTGCCACCAATTCGGATGCATTTAAAAATGCTCTGAATTGCCCGAAATTCAAGGACGGTTGTGCTTTCAAAGAGTGCAAAAGCTTAAGTGATATCTATTCCAAGCTTGATGAAATCCCCGAAATTGAAGAGGAGCAGGGAAGTCACGGCGAGGTGCTGGAAAGTCTAAAGATGATTCATGAAGTGTGTGTCGAAATGCAGAAGCAGATCGGCGAATGTCCTGTCTTTAAAACCGATGTTGGTTGTCCGTTCAAGACAGTGTGTAGCGATGGCAAGCTCATGATTGCTAAAATTGAAGAAAATTTAACGAGCAGAGTGATCGTTGAAAGTGCACAGGAAGCAGAACAAGAGATTGGAGCTGAACTGTTGTTGTCTTCATCTGGCATTGTTCTCCATCAAGAATTGACAGAAAATACGAAAAGTATTCACAAGAAGACTGAAACATCACCCTTTGTCAGAGGTTTAATTAAAGGCAAAATCGATCCTGCCGGATATAAATTATATTTATCCAACCTATACTTTATTTACAGGTAGCCAAACTTCGATATTTGCTTTATACTATTAATGTAAGATAATTGTATAGCCTTTAACAAACAACTCAGCCAGTCTAGCCGTACCCCCATAATCGTGAATTTACGCATGCGCAGTATACTTAATGTTTTCCCCCAAAAAAAAGGCTGACATCGCACAATCAGTTATTGAACGTTCCGCTCTTGATTTAACTAGTGCAGTGCATGCACACTTTTAATATAGGTAATCATGCGATAGCGAATACAATTCGGGATTAATAGTATGAGTGATGTTTGAAAATTTTGCCAAATTAGACTCGCCCTTTCTTTGTTTATTATATTAGCTGAAAGCTTTCCGCCATTTTTGGTTTATTTTAGCTAAATCATTAATTGTACTGCAATACAATTAATGAAATAATTGTGCTCCTTACGAACAATCAGCAAGCAGTAATTTTAGTACGCTAATAATAAACTCCGAAATCACATATTTTCCGATATAAGTGCGATGACCCGTGTAATCATCTTTTCCATGCAACTTTGTGAATTTTATAGGCTAGTTTGGCGTTTGAACGCGTATTTTATAGCTACCTTTAATACAGCTTTTTTATTTTTCTAAAATATCCTAACTACGAAATTATAGACTTTCCTGAAAAGAAAATTTATAAATAATTCTTAACATGCACGTAACTATGCAAAACTTAATTTTTTTTCTCTTTAAATTGGCTAGCACTTTGGAGAAGGAGGGAGACAAGCACAAATCTCACCCGAAACTCAAGCCCGTTTACTTCCCAACTGAGCTGAGGAGAACACCGAAGATTGTAGAAGATTTGGAATATTTTTATGGAAGCGACTGGAAAGACGAAATCGAACCGCTGGAGGCAACGAAGCGCTACATGGCGCGACTTCGACAGCTGAGCGAAGAAGACCCAATGTTGTTGGTTGCTCATCAGTATATTCGATTCATGGGCGACCTCTCTGGAGGTCAGGTTTTGAAGAAGATCTTTGTGAAAACGTACAACCTCTTTGACTCCAATGGCATCCAATTCTACGAATTCGATAACATTCCCAAGGTTGGGGAGTTCAAACAGCGGTATCGTCGCGCACTTGATTCGCTGCCGTTGGACAAAGAAGAGGCCGATCGTGTTGTGAACGAGTCCATTAAGGCTTACCATCTCCACATCGAAATGTTTGCTGAGATGGCGGAGCTGTGTGGTATCGAGTCTGACCTTCCAACGAGGATTGAAAGTAAACCCCTGATGAAAAAACCTAGCGCACGACAAACCTTTGAAGAAAATCCGCTTGTGAAGCCGGACCATGCCAGCAATTCATCAAGTGGCGTTCTCTTCATTATTTTGGGGCTGGCCGTGGCCATTTTTGCCATCTTGTATTCCTACTTGCTCTCGTGAACATATAAACGTGCTTAGAAAAACTTTTAGTGAAATAAATCGTGGACCGTTTTCATGTATTGATTATAATTATTTGGGGATTGATATACTGGCTGATCGATTACCTAATTCGATTATACCAAAGTTTGACAACAACTTAGAGTTTTCTTTTTTCTACTTGGAAATTTGAACATAAGTTGATTGATTTAGCGTAAGAATTTAACTATATCTACTATTTTAAAGCTACTTGGAAATTAGTGATTATTAATAAAATTGGTTCACATAAAGAAAATTGTTTATTATAACAACGCGCATGCATGTACATTATGTATGTGAAAAAACGCAACTCGATTCAACCAAAACTAAATCGCAGCATTTTGAGCTTTAACTCAATCATCCTGAATGAAACTAACTCATAATTTTTAGGAAATAAAATTCCACCTAGCAAAAGTCTAAAATCTGCAGAGTTTGTCAATTGAATTAGCTATTTCTCTAATGAAAGCGCAGTTCGTATCTAGTTGAGTCAGGAACCGAACTAAGTTTCGTAGTGAATAATAAAACGGACGAAACGTCCAGTTTTGTTAACGAAATAACTATTAAAACTTAAACTTACTTGTGTTTTATATCTTACATGTTATCCATCCATCGGATGCTGCAAATTTATGCAAATAAATACCTTATTTCGAACTCAGGCTACTCAGCACATACCTGAAATAGCTTTTCAGTTGGGTTTTCCCCCGAACAAAAGACACGTATATGACTAGAATTCATTTTGCAAATAAAATCGTTCTCGCGAACATAAAATCGTTATTTAAACTTCGTAGAGGTAATTGATGCGGGGATGTCCACAGAAAGCGAGGATCGCGTATTACCACCGCCAGAACTCGACTGGATACTTCCAGAAAAGAAGGAAATTGGATCGGAACGTTACGAATGGTTGAGTGATGAGATTCAATCGCGGCTTCCTATTGACATTCTGTTAGTTACTGCAACAGACCACGAATTCAACAGTTGCTACTCGTTTTTGAGACTGAAACCTATTCGTCGAAGTTGGTGCCCTGACATGGGATTGGGATTTGTGGATTTCGGTGAATTCGATGATGGAAATCCGCGAAATACGAATGTGACCGTGGCGCTGATGCGATGCGAAGCCGGACCGCTACCGGCTGTGATTGTTGTCAAAAATGCTACCGAAGTTTTGAAACCCAAAGCTGTGCTTTTCGTCGGAGTGTGTGCCGCCCTCGACCGGGAGAAGGCAAAACTCGGCGACGTGATAATTTCGGCGAAATTGGCGAATCACGCATTTAAGAAAGTCAAGGACGACGGCAAATACGAGCATCGTGGTTTCAAAGAGAACGTCAGCAGGAATATGGCAAAGCTTATTCTGTCTGCAGACCATGGTTGGGAGCCACCTATTAAAAATAAAAGTGGTTTTCATCCCAAAGTAAATAAGAAAGCTGTAATGTTAAGTGGTCCTGAGTTGATTGACTACGACAAAAGACGGTTACAATTGCTGGAAGATTTTCCAGACGCTGATGGTCTCGAAATGGAGGGTGAAGGTAGGTTACTTTGACGTATACGTAATTCTAATACTGAATAATGTGGCAAATCTCTTTTGGGTGACTAAATTCTATATGCATCTTTTTGAGTCACTATTTTCTTTGAGCAACGTTTGCATATTCAAATCGCATTGTGCATGTGAAAAGCGAATATGATCGAGCAGTTTTTTTGAAGAATATAAGAAGCGTACAGTTGTCTAATGACAGCTATTGGCAACGTAAATCGATCCTTTCAACGTATTGTTCTTAATCTTCCATCAGGTGCAAGGACGTATTTTCATTATTCGACAATACCTTGTCCGCATTATTCGACAATTCCTGATCCATAATCTTGCATGTATGCATGCTATTTTTTCTCTTCTGTTTTCTTTAATTTAGGTTTGTTTGCAGCGGCATATGATCTTGGTATAGAGTGGGCTGTTATCAAAGGTGTGTCAGATTTTGCAGATGGGAGTAAAAGAGCTACAGAAGATTGGCAACCATTTTCCAGCACAATGGCTGCGTCTCTGGTTTACAACATGTTCAAGTCCCCTGATGTGACAAGATATTGGCCGCATTATCAAAAGACAGAAGGTATAGGTAACTCTTATTCAGACAGTCTTGATATAGGCCTAATTCGTTTTCAGGTCGTTTGCTACAATTTTTTAAGCAAAACCACGATTCAGTTTACGCTGTAAACGTCCACTGGTAAGAATAAAATTGGGTCAGCTAAGAAGAATAAATTGGGTCAGCTAAGAAGGTGTCGAGTGGCACCAACCGAGTTTTGACTTTCATTGATTACGTGTTTTCTCGCTCCTGTGAAATATCATTCCGTATTACGTCACTGCTATCATTCTGTTAGCTTTCTGGCTGCCTCCTCGTATTGACAATCGGCTTACTTGTTTGGTACGTGCCCTTTTCGAAGTCACTGCCAGATTTTCTTGAAAGGGGCACGTGCATGTAGCCAGCACACGCGATGACAGTTAAGCTCTCTTTTGAGCTTTGTTATGTCATTTACACAACCAACTCAGTCTTGAAGTTATAATTTGATTGATTTTGTTTGTTGCTTCTCTGCCATTCAGTAGCTGTCACTCGGACATCGCTCTCATTCCGTATGCTTTCTGGCTTTCTTCTCGTATTGATAATTGGCCTACTTGCTTGTTACGTGTCATTTTGGAGGCCATTGCCAGATTTTCCTGAAAGGGGTACGTGCATGCATTGTACATTATCAGTACCTGGGAATGCGGTCTGAAGTGACTGCTAGACACGACGGTAGTTGTTATGTCATTTACATAGTCAATTAAGTCAGACTTCAAGTCAGACTTATAATTTTGTTTGTTGCTTCTCTGCCATTTAGCTGTCACTCCGACACCTCTCTCAATCCGTATGGTTGCTGGCTGTCTTCTCGCATTGATAATTGGTTTACTCGTTTTGTATGTGTTCCGTCCGATGCCGCCGCCACATATTCCTGAAAAGAGTACGTCATTACTATTATTTTAAGTGATCAAGGGTGAACATTAGTACCTGGGGTAGAGGTCAAGGCAATTTAATCATTATAATTGGTACTGGTTTATCTTTAAGACCCCGCCAGGTCCATAGGCGTCCTTTCCAATTCGAATATTACAAATTTCACTATAAATTCCTTTATAGTTACATCGCCGCCTGTTCCCACAAATCCACCGTTTACCCCTATTGAACAATTTCTTAGGGGCATTGCTGGTACAAAGGAAGGAAGAGTATGTATATATATAAATTATGGAAGTATTGCCCTGATAGCATGTTATCTGACAGATTTTCACTTCTGAAACTAGTGAATTCTCAGCCCAGTTCCCATTGACTCGTTACCTGTCGTTACCAGGCAATAAGCCACTGGATTATTCCGGGGGTTAATATATTTCTGTGATCAGACAACAGACAAGATTATTTCATATCTACCATATTCTGTGGTAGGTTAATTAGATCAAGGCAAATAGCACCTAACTCCTAAAATCCTTTCAGATATTGTGATTGCGTAATTCTGCATTTTAGCTAATTTGCAAAAAGCCTTCACGAGGGATGTGTTGTTTTTTGTACACAGAGAGAATATAATGGTCGCATGATCGAGTACTCAGTTTCAGGAAGAGTTCATTCATTTGATGAACCTTGGGTGTACGATGGAACAGCAAAAGATGTTGAATCTGGTATATTTGCAAAGAAGAAGCATTTTGAACATGCAGACGAAGCTATTAATGCAGCAATTGAAGAATTAGTCAAAAAGCTTAAGGAACGCAAGATCTTGCAAGATCAATCAACATAAGAAAGTCAATCGAAAATTTTTTATGCTTCACATTCGACTTTCAAACTCGTCCCGACTTTTACAATTTAATTACAATATGAGTATAAATGCAACTGTTTCCCATCAACCTTAATTAAGTTAAAGGTCTATAATGCAGGTAACTATTATTAGGCTACAGGTAACTGTGTTATGATTTTATTAGCTACGATATTTTATTTTTTTTTAAATGACAGTCCATGTAATTGTCCATTTTCATGGCAGCATTTGACACCGATTTGTTCAATGGAAATTCTTGTTACATGTTTTATGACTGATGTAAACTCATGCTTGCCTCAAGAGGCTAAAGCGGACTATACTCGAAAAGGACTGTCGAGGTGAAGTTCGAAAAGATTGTTAAACACCCAGCAATGGTAACTTGTGCAAAATAAGGCCACCGGAACCAGGACAGGGAATCTTAACCTTTTTACCAAGGTTTATCGGTCATTTTAATATCAATTGCTTTATTTCTAGTACTGTATGTCTGTATTATAATATTCCTTTCACTTTTTGGCTAGTTTTTGATGATTCATTTGTACTGAATAGTACTGTACTATTATTACTGAGTTAGATCTGGGATTTATTATTTAGACTAGGCCATCAATTTAAATAAAAATAAGAAAAGGATATAATTATGCACCGGAAAATAACGAGGGGAATTGCGATAGTATAACCGGTAACTAAACTTGCGGAACCGCCATAAATTATATTAAAGGACATTGGCAACGAAAATTTTTATTCGCTATTTTTAAAGTGTTCAACCGTCTAATTATGGATATGGTGTTAATTTATTCCAAAAATGTTTCGTTTATGAGTTATTTTCACCACAATTCAGCCAAAATTTGGACCTCGTCCGCCATATTGGATCAATTTTTGAAAAAATTATATTTGGCGGAAGTGACGTCATTTGATGGGTTCCCTAAACACATCAATATATTTTACTAGCGTGTTTACTGTGTTTATCGAGATTTTTTGCTTTAAAAAGGGAGTTGTAGTTTTTTTATGATTGTCATGGAACATATTAACGAAAACCATGCAGTTAGAGGAAGTGTTGCCCTACCAATATGAGCCAGAGGCGCAGGGAAAATCTTGTGATATATATCTAACGATAGCGATGCCGAAAACGGTAGTGATTCATCTTCCTCTGACGAAGATTTCGATCGCGAGTTCGAAATAGCGAATGCGGGCGCCTTGAAAAACTTACTTGGTGTAAATGTGGTGGACATTGCGCATTATTAACAAGGGCTGTAGAATGTTATTGCTGCTATGAAAAAGCACTAGAGTACGACGAATACGAACATTTCGCAAACTCGCGCTTCGTCGTGTGGTCACTCAAATAATATTTTGTCGTGTCGTATGACATGTTCATTTGATTTCTCTCACATGATACGGCAATTCCTCTAAAAGGAACAAATAAACCGTGCGTTTGATGCTGTTCGATTAAGTTTCGATTTAATTGGGGAAAGAATATATTAAATACATGTAGATTCTGGTCCTATTTTAATATTATCGCTGCTATTTTGCCGTTTAACAAGATATGATCACTTATGGTTGCGTTGACACGTCGCAGTTAATTTGCACAGGATTGAAGATTTAATATATAAAGCACGAATTCCAAAGTGTAAGACAAAGTGAACGTATCATGCGGTTTATTTACATTTTTGAACAATTAAACTTCTATACTTTTTAAAGTACAATGAGCTTCTGAATTTCGCGATCGAACAACATTTAGGTTTGCAAGGCATCTAAATGAATATGAACTGTATAAAATGCACCGCATATAATGTCAATTGCACGGTATATAAAGAGAAATGCACCGCGTATAATGTCAATTGCACGGCATATAAAGAGAAACGCACCGCGTATAATGTCAAAAGACAGCATATAAAGAAAAATGCACCGCATATAATGTCAAAAGGACAGCTTATAGAGACAAAAGCACCGCATATGATGAATATATACCACGTAAGACAGCTATGGCATTCCATAGTATTGTTTATGTTCAGAGCCTTTATATTGAAGACTAGCACGTGCGCGGCACGCCGGAGTTAACGCCAGAAAAGGCGTCTTGTTTATGCTAAAATATAGTAAAATTGTTAGCAGGGGAAAATATGCGCGCCTTAGCTTTAGTATAAATCTAAATATAAGTAGAATTCTAAACTTTGGGAGATTGGTTATTAGTTGTGTTGTGTTGCCACCGTAACGTCCTGTTGTGTATCGACGTGCACTGCATGTGTAAATATGTGTGTACATAGTTCATATTCAATGTTCTCTTCCAAATATTTTGAAAAACATGTCCCCGCAATGTTGATGCATTAATTTTGCATAGGTATTTGATTCTGTCCCCCCTCTATACTCTATTTTACCACGTTTTTCAAGTTGCCATATGAGAATACAACAATAGTTTATATAATCATATTTCCCAAACCCATCAAATGACGTCACAAATGTATGCTAGCATAAATTAGCATAAGGCTCGATTTTCAAAATGGCGGACCACCGATGAACATTTTTGGAAATTTTCTTAAGAACCAAATACGATAGACACACAAAAACATTAAATTAAGTATTTCCTAGATGATTTCAACAGATTTGGCAAATAAAAATTTTCGTTGCCAATGTCCTTTAAGATAGGTAGTGCTGAAGCGGGCTTTCAATATCATGACTTGCATTGAATGATATTATACCGTTGACTTTTCCAAAATAACAGGAAGTCCAGCTGAAGTATTAGGCTTTCATAAGCTGTATGTGCATCAGTGCATGGCTTTGCATATAAACCAGAAATATTCAGCGTTCCCCTTTTGTATAGCTATGCTGATTACAATTTTCCAAACTATATATTGAAATCCCAATTCCCAAGAGCTAAAAACTTTCTAAACCTAATCTTATCTATCGCCCTCTAATTTTAACATGATTATAGCTACAATCAGGTTCATCAAATTTGATACATGAGGAAAACCAAATTGCCACCTTTTTACCCAGTTTAAACTGTTTCGTTATCTCCATAACCTGCAGTTTACCTACAGGGTGTATCAAAAAGCTGCAAATACCATAATTTGTATGCCGGCACGACATTAGAATTTCAATGACTGTGCAACTGATTACGCTTCTGGGATTTGAAAATACGTTTCCCAGGGTTATCAAAACAAGCATACAAAGTGAATTAAACTTATGAGTTCGATTACGAATGGCTCAGTTAAGAACAGAACTAAGATCCCAGAAGCGTAATTAGTTCAGTGCACAGTCATTGAAATTTTATGGTATTTATACAAATGATGGTATTTGCAGTTTTTTTTATACACCTTGTATAGATAAAAATCATACCCCGAAATGCATAAGCCTAAAATTGGGCTCGTGCATGAATATCTAAATGAATAAGTTTTTCAAATTAATGTTCACTATTTCGGGATTATATATATATAACTGTTCTAGTAAATTTGTTCGCCTCAGACTTTCCGACGGACTTATATACACGAATGTGTTATTCAACTCTGGCATATGTTAAAGATTTACCGGCTCATCAGGTAATTCAGGTTACCAAGGTGAATCATCATTAACGGCAGTTGTATTGTGTCGTGGTTCCTTTCAAGTCTTGTCGTGTAACAGCGTAGGACCGAAAATCCTTGGTATTTTGGTTAACAAACGCAGAGAATACTCGAGATATTACACACAACAGGTGAGTAAAAATACGGTTAACACTGATGCGTGATCTTATAGGAGAAGGTTGTATGTTTGTCACACAACTGTGTCTTATAGTATAGGATCGATATTGACATCTTCTTGTCTTTCAGCGTATGCTAATATTCGGTTATATATGAACGTGATATGTCTTATATTGTATAACTAAACGCATTAACTGCCATTGGGAACTTCTATCTGAGAGTATAAGTTTCATGTTTCGAATTTCGGCGTCGCTATACCAATGAAATCGAAAACTGCATTTTGAATAGAAGCATATGGCTGTCTCGTGTTTGTGTCTATTTTTGAACGCATTTACATATTTGTGTTTGTTTCGACGAGTATTATATAACTACATATTCGACCGGTAACGATTTCTTGCGCAGATTTTCTTGCCACAACACCACAGGCCTCTATATGTCTTAGCAAAACTTTGCAAAACTGAATGTGAGGTCTAAATGTCTATTAATTTCAAAGGTCGACATTGTTGCCTATTGTATTATAATACTAGCTATATTGGAACCTCTGCACTATACTCTGTCTATAGTAATAAAGAGCATGGCCATTTGGGTTTGCATATGAAGTTATAGTGAATATAGTCTTTCATGTTATATGTCACGATTGATTCGCTTGCCATTGAGAACAAGCGAATCTTGAATGCTTTAGTAGGAATCAGACAATTGTATCTAGTTGTACGGTACTTTATATCAGAATTCATTGTCGACACTCGTGAAGTACACGAAGAATATTTTTACTGACACACACTTAAGCAATTTATGCACCAGGTAAAACGAGCCGCACGGTACGCACTTATCCCTTGCGTACGTGCTCTACTAGATTCACTAAAGTCAATGACCTCAAACACTGATCTAATGCTTTTTCTGTTATATATTTGCGTTGTCTAATGTCTAGTCCAACATTCATATATTCAATTCAATTCCATACATGAACATATCATATATTCCCGTCGTTGCTCTTTGAGATCGCCTAGCTCGTATTGTACAGAAATCTATGAAGGGTGATTTGACGCGCAATTCATCTCTTGGCGATCACAGCAGAAGTGACAGGACCACTTGTTGTGCTGAATTTACGTCAAAACAATTAGAACATTCACGTGAACGCTTCATGCAACATATCCTTCCAATTAATGAATGAGGCCAGAAGATTCGGATTTTTACCTCATGCTATTCCGGGAAAATTTGTTTAGAAGGGTTGCGGCAAAATGTAGAATTTGGCTCTGTGGTATATAATTTTTTGTTCGAATTTTTTACCCGGTAACATACAACGCAAACAAACAAATCAATCAACAAGCCTGGAACCAATCAACAAGCGGCTCAAGGCATCCACTACGTAGGCCAGCAGAGCATCAGATAAAAAGAATAGTTGTTTATTTTGGAATAAAATAAAATAAACAGTATTGGTGCAGCAAGAAAAGCTGCTGCATCAGCCTGCATGCAATTAAGAAAGGGTGAAGCTCCGCTCCCATTATTTCTCAAATGGAATCTACATGCAGTTCCTCGATCGTGGAGCCAGTGAAGTCCATGATTTTTCACAACGTTCCTGGTTTATTCACGAATCGTGATCTTTAGTTCTCGACAGACAATTTGCGTCAATATATACACGCATATGTTTCGCTACTATACAGGCCGGTGTCCCCAAAAAAACGAAAACTATTGAAATCACTCAGTTTAATGCAACTTATAAAATGCTCAATGCTTTGTGTTGCTAGAGAAAGGGGACATGTCGAAGGACATGGTCCTTGAGATGCACATTAAAATAATGTTATCCATATTTGTAAATTGTAAATATTGTTAGTAAATATCATTTTTGCGAACAAGCAAATTTGACTGCATCACATGCATGCATAAAAATGCTTATGGCAACCCCGATTTATACACCTGTGGGCCCAACAGAGTGCTTAGGCATTCAAACTCTAACAATGGCATTGTTATGGGTGATTTCAATAGTTTTCGTTTTTTGGGGGACACCCTGTATGTTTGGCTTGCTCTCCGTCCATTTTAGACAGTCAATAGTATACAACAAAATTATTCATACATGAGGCGGAGAAGACATATAATTGATAACCCCTCTGTTCTTTGCACCAGACCAACGGCTATCACGGACATATCTCTCTCACATAAATCACCCTCCCCCCCTTGACTTCCCTCATTGCAATGTTGTGATACCGGCAATAGTTCTGGGTCGATTTTGCATAGTATTTGTGCGAGTAAATTCGTGCTAGATTGTGCATAAATACACGTCTAGAAAATTTATTAAATTTAGAAAATGATTATGTTTTAACTTTTCAGAAAAATGGCAGAAGAATTGGAAGGTGTGAAAACAGATCACCTCGATAAAGAATGTCCGGCATTCAAAGAAGGTTGTCCGTTTTCTAAAGTGGAAGATAAGCAGATCAAAGATGCAGTTGAGAAATGCCCTGAATTCAAAACCGGATGTCCATTTAAAGATTCCAAAAGCCTTGCTGAGGTTTACGAGAAGTTATCGCATGTTCCACACTCAGCTGGACATGAAAAGGAATTATCTGGTCAAAAGTTGACTGATATGTTTAAGAAAATGCACGATACGTCTGAAAGTCTGGAAGAAAAGTTAGGAGATTGTCCTGTGTTTCACAAACAGCAGGGATGCCCATTTAAAAGCGTCCGTACTCACGACGGCAAGCGGTTGGCTGAACCGGTTGAATCCATCGGCCATGACGAAGTAAGCGATATTAAGTGCCTTCGGATTATTTAAATACCTTTTTTGCTGTAGCTATAGGTGAAAAGGTATCTTTTAAAAGGACTTTTAAAAGATAAGATTATGTTTCAGTTCTGAACGTGATATTTGAGTACAACAAACCTACTAACTTTCAGTTTTCTGGAAAAATATCTCCTACGTTTACGCCCTATACCGGTTGGTGTCGAAGCTGACCTAATTTTGAATATCTTGATGTCGGAGACCACAAAATAGATAAGCCGAATGCCGTATGTAAATTATTGAATAGCATTTGTTATTAAAACGAACTAACGAAGGCTTCTTAACAACAAACCATTGAAGATGTCGTGATCAGCAAATTCGGCAATGCACAGAGCCGGGACGTAGTTTCCGGGTGTTTTTCTTACCTTACACTCCCTGACTGCAATGTATTCTGACGAAATATAAATCTATCTCTGCTATAAATCGTCTCTGCTATTGCTCACTATTCAGGGACTATTGTAGCCGATTTCAGGGACCGCCTGCAATGCAGGCTAGGGCTATTGCTGTGGTAAACTCTCTTCAAACCTCTTTTCCACTTCTTCATATACGGATCAACTTGCTATTTATCCTGCAGTGATCCCGAGAAAAATCCAACAAAAGAGACTTGAAACACGTCTATAGCAAATTTGATGCCGTTACGACGCATGTAATCTCTAGTGCATGGACTAATTAGGGCCCGTTTGCACTTGCAATTTTTACTGCGATTTTATTTGGGATTTTCTTCGTTTGATAGATGTGAACGAGTCGTTTAGTTACTGATGTTTCAAAAAGAGTTCTTATACATCAGAGCATTCGTAGCTAATTATATAATTACTCGTTCACATCTGTCAAAAGAAGAAAATCGCACATAAAATCGCAAGTGTAAACGAGCCTTTAGGAAACTTTGTCAACTTTGTTTCAGCGAGTGTCGAAGAAGCTGAGGACTGTCGATGTCACTCATCTTAAGCAACAATGCGCTGCATTTCAAGAAGGTTGCCCGTTTGCTAAAGTGGAGGAAAAGCAACTAGTGGAGGCGATCGAAAAGTGTCCCGAATTCCAAAACGGCTGTCCGTTTAAAGATGCCAAAAGTCTTGCTGAAGTTTACGAGAGGTTGTCCCATGTGCCGCATTCAGCTGGACATGAAAGCGAATTATCCGGTCAGAAGTTGATTGAGATGTTCAAGAAAATGCACGATACGGCAGAATGCCTGGAAGAGAAGTTAGGAGATTGCCCTGTGTTTCACAACGATCTAGGATGCCCATTCAAGAGTGTTCGCACTGAGGAAGGCAAGCACTTGGTGGAACCTGTTGAGTCTGTTGCCCATGATCAGGTACATAACTTTACAAGACCATTTACTATAGACTAATTTAGCCATAAAAATTTCAGATATGCCATTAGTTTATAACAAACTAAATGATTTCTTTCTAATCGTGTTCCGAATTTTTCCCGGGCGAACACATGCATTCCCTTAGTGGGAAGCCTCCAGAATGAGAAACAGTTTTGTTGCTAAAGTCGAACTGTTTGTTAGGCAAAAGAGAGCTTACTTTATTTACTTGGAAAAATATGATACTTTGTTTGACAAAATGATACATTAAGACATTACATTATATCTTTCCTGATTGATTTGTGCTTCCTTTCATTGTTAGCACGTCATTGAGGAGCTCAAAGAGATCGATACCACGCATTTACAACAGCATTGCCCTGCTTTTAAAGATGGCTGCCCATTTAGTAAACTGGAGGACAAAGATATGAAAGAAGCCATTGCAAAATGTCCCGAGTTCCAAAATGGCTGCCCTTTTAAGGATGCCAAAAGTTTTGCAGAAGTTTACGAGATTTTGTCCCATGTCCCACATTCAGCTGGACATGAAAATGAGTTATCTGGTAAAAAGATGATTGAAATGTTTATGAAAATGCACGATACTTCTGAATGTCTAGAAGAGAAATTAGGTGATTGCCCCGTATTTCACAAAGATCAAGGATGCCCATTCAAGAGTGTCCGTACTGAGGACGGAAAGCATCTGGTAGAGCCTGTCAACTCCGTCTCTCATGATCAGGTATACACTGTGATTTTCTATCGATAGTATGAATCCACTTGATTGGTAACATTGTAGATTTTGTAAAAATGCATTGGAGATGTACTCTCGATGGATCCGGTGAACCAAAGGGACTGCTTCATCCACAGGTGTTTTAATAACTAGAGGGGATATATATGAGATATCGACGAGAATTCTTTTTCCTTACGTAGTAATCTGGGATGTGCGAAAGAACATACGCCTAGTTAAGTTAAGATTCTAAATTCGTCGAGTACACGAGCAATGCCTTTTAAGATGGGAACCGGAATACCCCATAAAAATATCACATGTCGTAACTGTTTGAAGAGAAAATTTAATATTTAAAGACTTTATTTAAAGGGAACGCTTAGTTTTCGGTCTGTCGTTTTGAAAGTCGTCAGAAAATTAATATTTTGGTGTATAATTGAAGCAGTATATGCACTCTAGATAAAAAATAGACCAGGCTTTCTATTTTGTGGCGGGACTTATTTCGCTATAACAGGCATTCTATTGTCTACATGGCAATAAATCTTTTGCCATTCCATTCTTTCATTTAGCATGTTATTGATAGCTTGGAATCAGTTGACGTGACTGAAATTCAAGAAAAATGCCCTGCGTTCAAAGATGGTTGCCCGTTTGCGAAGGCTGATGAAAAGGCATTAAATGAAGCGATTGAGAAATGTCCCGAATTCCAAAATGGCTGTCACTTCAAAGATGCCAAAAGTCTCGGGGAAGTTTACGAGAAGTTGTCCCATGTTCCGCATGCGGGAAAGGTGGAAGAGTTGTCTGGGCAGAAATTGGTTGAGTTCTTCAAGAAAATGCACAGTACTTCCGAATGCCTCGAAAAGAAGATTGGGGATTGCCCTGTGTTTCATAAAGATGATGGCTGTCCTTTTAAATCCGTCCGTAGCAACAAAAAACATTTAGTGGACCTAGTCGATTCCGTTGCTCATAACTAGGTTTGGTTTTTGTAAGAGTGCCTTAAAGAGGATGTAACTTCTCGGGTAATTCATCGTAATTTTTAATGCTAAAATAGGTCAGATACTATCGTATGAAACTATTATCTCCTGTAGTGTGTTTGGTATAGTTTTATACAACGGCCCCTGACCAACATTTGTAATGGTTTTATCCAAAATACGCGATTCTAAATTGACCTTTCATCAACTATGCTTCAAATTTAACTGTTTTTTATTCAACTGACCCTTTGTTTACAGCGAGGTATGAGTGTAGCGCATCCATAAAGCCATATTTAGAGAACTGGGTTTAATATACATACTAGTACTATGCTTCCGTGATGGTAGTTCTTGGTATCCTGTAAACCAGGGGACGGTGGTATAGAAATGCAGTTATATAATTGTAACTAATGTTAAAGAAGTGGAAAATCAGAATTAATGATTTTATATCGATCAAATAATAAGTTTTGTTGTACAAAATAATAATTCATTGAATTCATTTGTTATTGGAGTTATTGGAGAGTAAACTTTGAGGTTTTGCATGACAAGATAAGTATTAAATACTTGTTAAAAATTAAGGTTTAAATCGTAAAAAGCGAAACATTTCAAAATTAGTAGATGCTGTATGATTTTTTCTGGGATAGTATAGTTTTTTATTAATTATTGCAGTACAATGAATCAAATAACTGTGCTACCCTTAGCCAATGGCGAGTTATTCAATGGTGGTTCGAATCCTAGGAAAATTGTCTTTTATCATGTCACATGCGACAACGATTTATTTTGATTGGCCAAAGCGAAGATTGGCCACGAAAAAACTGACCGATTTTAAGATTCTCGCTTTAGCTCGAGTTAAAAACCCTTCGCTGTCGCAGTGAACGTGTAATAATCCCACAATCACCACATTGAGCAATGCCATATATACTGAACTTTCGACTCTTGGAGTCTCATTCATACCCACTGCGTTTTTTGGTCTCTGGGTACTTCTTGGCAACCTTGAACGGGGCGCTGTTGGGTTTGGTAAAACAAGACGCCTGTTCTGGCGTTAACTCCGGCGCACGTGCCAGTCTTCAATATATAGAGCTTCTGAACATACACAACACAGTTCATATTCGCATTTAGATGCCTTGCGAACCTAAATTTTCGATCGCGAAATTCAGAAGCACATCGTACTTTAGTATAGAAGTTTAGAACTATAGAAGTACTAAAGTATAGAAGTTTAATTATTAATTATTATTATTAAAAACTTTATTTACCCACGCTAGCCTCGACAGCATATTTATATATAGCTGATTTCCACGAGGGGCGTCACACAATAAACCGCATGATACTTTGGAATTCGCGCTTATATAGTTATATTAAATCTTCAATCCTGTGCAAACTACGACGTGTCAACGCGCCCATACACGACCACATCATCTTGTTAAACGGCGAAATAGCAGCGATATTATTAAAATAGGACCAGAATCTACATGTATTGAATATATTCTTACCCCAATTCAATCTAAACTTAATCGAACAGCATGAAAAAAACGGTTTATTTGTTCCTCTTGGAGGAATTGCCGTATCATGCGAGAGAAATCGAATCGCGCATCGGAAAATTAGCCAAAGCTGTGCACCACAATTCTTGGGAGATAAGACTGGGACGTAGATATTATGAGTAAAGTTCTTCGAAAAGCATTAGGTCAAATAAAGAACAATAGTTTTCGACAAATGATGTGGTGGTCTAGTGGTCTCGGCCATTGCGAAAGACTTGAATTTGAAATAAAAAAAACGAAAAAAAATTCTCGCGTTCAAGGGTACCTGAAAATTGAAAGAAAAGCACAAGTAAAATGTTTAAAAACATATGTGTCTCCTAATCATTCCCGCTTTTAAAATATTCATGTTTACTTACCTTAATATTTTTTTCACGAAAATTTGACAGGGTGATTTTCTCGAGAGTGAAAAAATTTAATTTTTTTTCACTTTTTTTAAATTCTCTGAGATTTTCAAAAAAAGTAAAAAAAGTTTAATTTTTTCACTCTCGAGAAAATCACCATGTCAAATTTTCGTGAAAAAAAGTTAAGTAGAGTAATCATGAGTTTTTTATAAAAGTGGGAAATTTTAAATTTTTATTTCTGCCTGACTTTCTTCATTTTCAGGCTTTTTAGCACACCTAATTTTAGTGTGCAGTGATAACCAATTTGTGCATTGATAAAAGTAGAATGTGCAGTGATAAAATGAGAAATGTGCAGTGATAAATGGTGTTTTCTCAACAGAACTCACTCTGCCGAGATGGCTTCATAACTATAATTGTCCCCCAAAATGCTGGAAATCAAGTCACAGGGACTCAAAAAATACGGAAAATTTTCTGCAAGAGGTCATGCAGACCCCATACAATTCCCCCATCTTCAAATCACCAATTTCCAGTTAGGACCATTTTTATCATGCCCCTCTCTCTCCACTATACTATTGTGATGATATGTGCAGTGATAAAAAATTTTTAAAATTATCTATGCTTTTTAGAAGACACGTGTTTTTAAAACTTTTTTCATTTGTGCTTTTTTCTCAATTTTCACGTACTTTTGAACGCGTGAATTTTTTTATTTCAAATTTTTTTCAATTTACAGTCTTTCGCAAAGGCCAAGAAGTCTTTTAGCTCTTTTAAAGCTTCCAAATCACACCGAAATTTTTCAGGCTATTTTTTGCATTGCCCTGGATATATATGCCAAATTTATCATATTAATAAGCATTTACTAATCGTTGCTCCATAATGGAAATTGGAAACGAAGATGTTGTGACGAGCGGATGATACCGTGAAAACGCAGCTTAAGAGAAGAAGAGTTATTTAATATCTGTTACATTATGTTGGAGATTTCGAGCATAATTTCAGCCGTGAAATAAGTGGCAAAAATTCTAATGAATCTGAATTGCCATTTTCCTCAAATTTTAATTTGTGACCTGTACAATCAGACTTGCCTTCATTAAAAATACAAAACAATTGCACCGTAACCATTAGCTTCACCTGGGCCGCATATAACTAGCTTATGCCGACGTAATACTGCTCCTTTGCTCAATGGAATCCATACCTGTGGTATTTTAGCATCAGCGCAAATGTTGAGAGTGGAGTTAAAACACAAACTTTGCCAGCGGTTGGGCGTTTACCGTAAACGTCAAACTAAAGGTCTAATATTAGGTTAAAACTACGGATAAGAATCAGTTTTGTGCGTTTTAGACAAGAGAATAAATTATCATTATCAAAGTAAACTGATATAAATGTATGTAAAATCCTTCGAAAAAAGGTTGAGTAAAATAAAATAGTGCAGTAATTCGCCTGAAGTTCTGCTGGTCTAGTGGTTAAGGCAATGCTCTACCATGTTTCAATCCTGTGGTTCGGGTTCAAGCATGAACGTTTTTCATTATGTCTTTCCAGAAAAGGATAAAATAAATCAATTAACCATATCCATTCGGCACATGATCTCGTAGTCCAGTGGTGAAGACAATCATCTCCCAATTGCCAAGTCGATGGTTCGAATCCAAGTATGCCATTTCTTCATTATGTCGTTCGTGAAAAGGATAAAGTAAGTTAAATAAGCTTAGCCGTTCAGCAGAAGATCTTGTAGTCTAGTGGCGAAGACAATAATCTCCTAAGTGGTAATTCGAAGGTTCGAATCCTACCATAACCGTTTTTCATTATGAACTTCGTGAAAAGGATATAGTCAATTAAATAATTATAACCGTTCAGCAGAGGATCTCGTCGTCTAGTGGTCAAGACGTTGGTCTCATGTGTCGACTGTCGAAGGTTCGAATCTCGTTTTAGGTGGAAATTTTCGTTATTAATATTACATGGTAAGGTTATGGAGAATAAGTTGGTGTAGGCTTCCAACAATCACCAGTTAGCCTTGTGGTAAAGTCGTGGACTATCAAGTACAAGACCGATGTATCAAGAACGGGATGGTACGTTTCTCATATCGGTAAAAGAAAAAAAAAATGGTGGGTATGTTGCTCCGGGGAGGTTTATACTCGGTTAATCTTTGGAAATTAAAGTTAATCTTTAGGGAAATCATTGGATAGATAGGGTGAATGAGGGGTATAGGAGTACAAAAAGACTTAGTAATAGGGCGGCCTCGGCTCCCGGAGCAAGGGGGAGGGTATAGGTGAGAAAACAGTATATAAAATGTTTAAGTCTTTTTGTACTCATTTAAACCTCTTTACCCCTATTTATCCTCCAATTTACTCCTATCAATCCCTAATTTTTCCTATCCTCACATATCCCTAACTATCCCCTAACACAATTAAATGTTTGAAGAAAGCTCGTTGTGAAAGTCAGGAAAGGCGGGGGAAAGAGAACCCCCCTCAGTCTACTCCTCGCCCAAGGCGAGGGCATATTCGCCCTCTCGCTCTACTCCTCTCACACTCACAAATTCTCACTTTATTACCTTGTTCTTTTTCGGTTGATCCAGGACTTGAACCATCGACTGTATACTTGGTAGATCACCGTCTTCACCACTACACCATCAGTTCTTGTGGTGAAAGCCTACAGTTTTTTATTTTGCTTAATCTTCTTTTGGAAGGATCTTTGATGAAATAGAAGAAAAAAACATTTCCCATCTGGGACTCGAACCTCCGCCTTTAAACTCGTAGAGCACTGCCTTCGCCAGTAGACCGCACGAGCTTGCCGTGAAAGCCTATACCTTTGAATACCTTTTGGGTGGGATCTCAAATGTACTAACAATTTAAATGAGTTCCCTTTAATGACAATGTTCATGATTTTTTTTCTCGTCTAAAACGCACACAACTGTGTCTTATTTGTAGCTTGTAACATAATATTAACCATTTGTGTTGTCGCTACTCGCTAAAATATCACACTGACATATAGTTATGAAGTGTCCATCTTTCCGCAAGTTAGTTATATGCGGCGCAAGTGAAGCTAACGGTTACGGTGCGATTGTTTTGTATTTTTAATGAAGTGAAGTCAAAGTAAAGAATTAACAATGCATTTCAAAATAGGTTTAAAAGAAAAAAAGTACAAGAATTAGCCGAATTCATATTAGTGACGGGAAACTCATCTTAGAAAAGATGAGGTAAAAACCCGTCTGAATATGAATTGGGATATGGATAAATTTATACGTATGATGTGTCGGGTATTGAGTAATCATTACGATAATAATTTTGTTTATTTTCGCTTAGCCTTGTTCCGTCCTTGACCGTGCTGATATTTTACAAACTTTTAGTGATTTATCCGTCTAAATGCATGCGAATTTAAAACGAGTTTCTGTTCCAGACGGGATCCAGTCTAAGCTTACCCGTCTGTTAAGACGGGAAAATTCGGACGAGAAACCCGTCTGTGATTCACATCAGACGAGTTTTCCGTCTTCGATGGGTTTCCTGTCTTCGACGAGTTTTCCGTCTTCGATGAGTTTCCCGTCTTTAATATGAATTCGGGTAATGTATATGACGCGTATAGTCATGAGGCAACAAGCATTACATCTGAAATCGCAAATGAAGCAATCGACTATGTATTTCAAAGACTTTAATTGTGGCCGTATAAAAAGTAGAGATACTAGTTGTTCTAGCCGGTTCGTCGATTATAAAATACGCTAATCTAATACTTGAAGCTTTGGACTCAAGAGACCAACGTCTTAACAACTGCTTGACGACCACATCGTTTGTCGATAAAAGTTCGAAGAACTTTTAAATGAAATAATTATGAATCGTTGCTGTAATGTTGTTGAGCTGCTGTTTGTTTGTTGGTTACCGCAGCTGCAGAAATTGCGCTTTTGAACAAAACTTTTTTTCTTCGCGTATTTATAATCGACGAGTTATAGCTAGTAACCTTTCTTCATTTGCGATTTCAGATGTAATGCTTGTTGCCTCATGACTATATACGCGTCATATACATTACCCGAATTCATATAAAGACGGGAAACTCATCGAAGACGGAAAACTCGTCGAAGACAGGAAACCCATCGAAGACGGAAAACTCGTCTGATGTGAATCACAGACGGGTTTCTCGTCCGAATTTTGCCGTCTTAACAGACGGGTAAGCTTAGACTGGATCCCGTCTGGAACAGAAACTCGTTTTAAATTCGCATGCATTTAGATGGATAAATCACTAAGAGTTTGTAAAATATCAGCACGGTCAAGGACGGAACAAGGCTAAGCGGAAATAAACAAAATTATTATCGTAATGATTACTCAATACCCGACCCATCATACGTATAAATTTATCCATATCCCAATTCATATTCAGACGGGTTTTTACCTCATCTTTTCTAAGATGAGTTTCCCGTCACTAATATGAATTCGGCTAATTCTTGTACTTTTTTTCTTTTAAACCTATTTTGAAATGCATTGTTAATTCTTTACTTTCATTGACTTCACTTCATTAAAAATACAAAACAATCGCACCGTAACCGTTAGCTTCACTTGCGCCGCATATAACTAACTTGCGGAAAGATGGACATTTCATAACTATATGTCAGTGTGATATTATTACAAGCTACGAATAAGACACAGTTGTGTGCGTTTTAGACGAGAAAAAAAATCATGAACATTGTCATTAAAGGGAACTCATTTAAATTGTTAGTACATTTGAAATCCCACCCAAAAGGTATTCAAAGGTATAGGCTTTCACGGCAAGCTCGTGCGGTCTACTGGCGAAGGCAGTGCTCTACGAGTTTAAAGGCGGAGGTTCGAGTCCCAGATGGGAAATGTTTTTTTCTTCTATTTCATCAAAGATCCTTCCAAAAGAAGATTAGGCAAAATAAAAAACTGTAGGCTTTCACCACAAGAACTGATGGTGTAGTGGTGAAGACGGTGATCTACCAAGTATACAGTCGATGGTTCAAGTCCTGGATCACCCGAAAAAGAACAAGGTAATAAAGTGAGAATTTGTGAGTGTGAGAGGAGTAGAGCGAGAGGGCGAATATGCCCTCGCCTTGGGCGAGGAGTAGACTGAGGGGGGTTCTCTTTCCCCCGCCTTTCCTGACTTCACAACGAGCTTTCTTCAAACATTTAATTGTGTTAGGGGATAGTTAGGGATATGTGAGGATAGGAAAAATTAGGGATTGATAGGAGTAAATTGGGAGGATAAATAGGGGTAAAGAGGTTTAAATGAGTACAAAAAGACTTAAACATTTTATATACTGTTTTCTCACCTATACCCTCCCCCTTGCTCCGGGAGCCGAGGCCGCCCTATTACTAAGTCTTTTTGTACTCCTATACCCCTCATTCACCCTATCTATCCAATGATTTCCCTAAAGATTAACTTTAATTTCCAAAGATTAACCGAGTATAAACCTCCCCGGAGCAACATACCCACCATTTTTTTTTTCTTTTACCGATATGAGAAACGTACCATCCCGTTCTTGATACATCGGTCTTGTACTTGATAGTCCACGACTTTACCACAAGGCTAACTGGTGATTGTTGGAAGCCTACACCAACTTATTCTCCATAACCTTACCATGTAATATTAATAACGAAAATTTCCACCTAAAACGAGATTCGAACCTTCGACAGTCGACACATGAGACCAACGTCTTGACCACTAGACGACGAGATCCTCTGCTGAACGGTTATAATTATTTAATTGACTATATCCTTTTCACGAAGTTCATAATGAAAAACGGTTATGGTAGGATTCGAACCTTCGAATTACCACTTAGGAGATTATTGTCTTCGCCACTAGACTACAAGATCTTGTGCTGAAAGGCTATGGTTATTTCATTTACTTTATCCTTTTCACGAAGTTCATAATGAAAAACGGTTATGATAGGATTGGAACCATCGATTTACCACTTGGGAGACCATTGTCCTCGCCACTAGACTAAAAGATCTTCTGCAGAACGGCTAAGCTTATTTAACTTACTTTATCCTTTTCACGAACGACATAATGAAGAAATGGATTCGAACCATCGACTTGCAATTGGGAGATGATTGTCTTCACCACGGGACTACGAGATCATGTGCCGAATGGATTCGGTTAGTTGATTTACTCTATCCTTTTCTGGAAAGACATAATGAAAAACGTTCATGCTTGAACCCGAACCACAGGATTGAAACATGGTAGAGCATTGCCTTAACCACTAGACCAGCAGAACTTCAGGCGAATTAATGCACTATTTTATTTTACTCAACCTTTTTTCGAAGGATTTTACATCCATTTATATCAGTTTACTTTGATAATGATAATTTATTCTCTTGTCTAAAACGCACAAAACTGATTCTTATCCGTAGTTTTAACCTAATATTAGACCTTTAGTTTGACGTTTACGGTAAACGCTCAACCGCTGGCAAAGTTTGTGTTTTAACTCCACTCTCAACATTTGCGCTGATGCTAAAATACCACAGGTATGGATTGCTTTGAGCAAAGGAGCAGTATTACGTCGGCATAAGCTAGTTATATGCGGCCCAGGTGAAGCTAATGGTTACGGTGCAATTGTTTTGTATTTTTAATGAAGGCAAGTCTGATTGTACAGGTCACAAATTAAAATTTGAGGAAAATGGTAATTCAGATTCATTAGAATATTTCAACATTTGCCACTTATTTCACGGCTGAAATTATGCTCGAAATCTCCAACATAATGTAACAGATATTAAATAACTCTTCTTCTCTTAAGCTGCGTTTTCACGGTATTATCCGCTCGTCACAACATCTTCGTTTCCAATTTCCATTATGGAGCAACGATTAGTAAATGCTTATTAATATGATAAATTTGGCATATATATCCAGGGCAATGCAAAAAATAGCCTGAAAAATTTCGGTGTGATTTGGAAGCTTTAAAAGAGCTAAAAGACTTCTTGGCCTTTGCGAAAGACTGTAAATTGAAAAAAAATTGAAATAAAAAAATTCTCGCGTTCAAAAGTACGTGAAAATTGAGAAAAAAGCACAAGTAAAAAAAGTTTTAAAAACACATGTCTTTTAAAAAGCCTGCATGAAAATGAAGAAAGTCAGGCGGAAATAAAAATTTAAAATTTCCCGCTTTTAAAACACTCATGTTTACTCTACTTAACTTTTTTTCACGAAAATTTGACAGGGTGATTTTCTCGAGAGTGAAAAAATTTAATTTTTTTCACTTTTTTGAAAATCTCAGAGAATTTAAAAAAAGTGAAAAAAATTAAATTTTTTCACCCCCGAGAAAATCACCCTGTCAAATTTTTGTGAAAAAAAAGTTGAGTAGAGTAAACATGAGTTTTTTAAAAGCGGGAAATTTTAAATTTTTTTTTCGTGTGACTTTCTTCATTTTCAGGTTTTTTTTAGAAAACACGTGTTTTAAAAACTTTTTTTACTTGTGCGTTTTTCTCAATTTGTACGTACTTTTGAACGCGAGAATTTTTCTATTTCAAATCTTTTTTCAATTTACACTAGACCACCGCGTCATTTGTCGAAAGCAATTGTTCTCTACTTGACCTAATCCTTTTCGATGAATTTTAAATTAAATGGTAATCTCGGTGGGAAAAATGGGACCCGTTAGGACCGTGCCTTAACCTATAGGCCACCGGATCGATATCTTTTATAATTTTTCTAAAAATGTGTTACCACGCTAAAAATGGCTTCGCACGTTTCCTAAGACTATAATCTCAGTAACTATAATCTCAATTTTCGCCGTCGTGGGTAGGAGTATTCTTACCATTTTGGCCAAATTTGACGACTTTTGAAAATTTTAAAAAACTGTGTTAAGATGCTAAAAATAAATGTTAAGATATATTCAAATATTTCCTGAGACTATAATCTCTTTGGTTTTTGAGCATATTTGGTTGCTTTTTAGAGCATTGAAAAAGTCGTCAACGTTGCCTAATTAATTTTTCACAAGACGTTTGCTAAGCGTTTACTCGAGCTAAAGGAGCTGTTTTTAACAGAGAAAGTTTAAAAATAAAAGCAGAAAATTGGCAGTCACTGCGAAAACATCGCAGGTTAACTTAAAACAAGAGCTATCTTTAAGAGGGGAATTGCATGCATGTGTCTGTGAATCGTCGATTGCCCATAGGGCCATACCCATTTTAACAACATAATATATCATTACTAAAATATATTAGTGTTTAAACCTTTATCAGCACCCAAAGAAAAATATGCATTGTTATATATACATTACACAATATTTTAAAATCCGTCATGCAAATAAACTTCCATTACGCCTTTCGCAGTTGCTTTGCTTTACTTCCGAGAAAAAATTGAAGCTTCGTATAGCCAGGGCCGAGGGTTGAATTGTTCGCTACTGTTTCACCGCAAAGTATCAGTAAGTAAATGCTCCTCAACAAAAACTGAGCAGGTATGTATTGTATGTATTTCACTTTGGTATGTACCAAAGAAAATTCCCGAATTGAATTGACTTTTGCTGGGTTCAGCGCTATTCTTGTAATTCTTTAGCAAAATCTGTTAATTTCTCCATCCATTTACCCACGTCTGCATCCTTGTTATTTTGTCGCAAATCCAGCAAAGTCTCGCACAGATGCCTTTCTTCTGGGCTCTTAAATTCGTCCAAACTCTGTTCAAAGATCTAACAAACAGGGTATCAAGGACATCAATCCATATAACAAAATAATTAATTTTTGCTAAGGATGACATGCATGGGTACAAGTATGTGCGAACACACCCTGAAATACTTATTCCAAAAAAGGTCAGGCAAATGTTTCTACAAGGATATTGTATAGCTGTCACAACCATTATAATTTGTATAGGAATTTGTGGGCAAATGGCAAGATAGTGTTTGCTACGGTCCAACCAAAAGCATTTATCTGACAGTGTGTGTATCAAAACTGCATTGTGTGTTCGTGAAGTTGAAACCAATGGACCATTCCCATACTAAACTAGGAAAATTCGTCGGTACAGAATAAGTAAAATCGAAACGTTTGGTTGGGATATGTTTGAAATATGAAAAATAGCTGTGGGAAGTTCGCAAATTTTGCGTAAAATTAGTATTACGCGTGGAAAAGCGTTGCCACTTTTTAGAAAATTTATACAAAATTTTTACTAATTTATACAAAATTTGCCATCTACGAACGGTATTATTTTCACACTATACGAAATATTTTTTCTAATGATTTTTCCAGCTGTACTGATGAAAATTCCAAGCTTTAAATTTGGGAAATGGTCCATTCCTAGGTTTAAACAGACAGTCTGTTGTATAGCTATACTATATCATGCATCCCATGATACCTCATCCTCGATGAAGAAATCATCCGGTAACATCGGAAGGTTGAGCACATCCTTCGACTGTCTAATTAATGGATGGGCCTAGTAGATACATAAAAACGTCAATGTAAAACACATATAGAAGCTTGGTGTATTGCGGGATATTTTTTATAGCTATCGAAAAATATATAAAATGTAAAATTAAGACATTTTTTAATGTCAGAATAAAAACGCTGTTGAAGGATTAACAAATTACATGATCTATATAAGATTGAAGAAATGCTATTGGCTAGCTTAAGACACATGCACGTGCTAAAATGTGACTATCATTGAATATTCATTGATTCCAGTAGTCGCAGAAGACTTATATCTTTATACCTTATCTCTTTCTAAAATTTCCAGCTCATGTTCAAATTTTTCAAGTTGTTTCGTGAGATCGCCAACCATTGCTGTCTGTTTATCCAATAGTCTAGAAAAAATGCGAAAATAAATAGCGTATAGTCATTTTGGAGGGAAACGGGTAAAGTTTTAAAGTGTGCATCATCACAATTAATGAAGATTCGGGCTCCGGTTCCAAAGATGTATCACGATCGTTATTAATATATATTGAAGCTGGGTATGATCCATGCAGGCATGACAGCCGGTGAATTGTGATTTTTACACGAAAGACATTAGGGATCTTATGATGCACCAAAACTACGACGTGGACATGAATTAATACTTTCGTAATTTTCACAGTTTCACAATTATCACGAACTATAAACAGTTCGAGACATTAAAGACATTAGTGGGGTGAAATACTTCTAGCCGGGGAGGGGGGGGGGTTTCAATTGATTAGACGAGGGTTGGAGTTCGAAGGGGGAATGCCAGCTGCCAGCGACGCGAGTTATGACAGAAATAACTTATGCTAGAAAAATTATTGGTATCATGTAGCGTACTTTTGTTCCTCTTCGATTTTCTTATTTAAAATGTTCAACTCCCTTGACTTTTCAAGATAAGCATCTTCAGATAATCTCTGAAAATAAACATGCAGAATCAATTACGTATATATGCACTGAAATCATACGTCTTTCGGCAGTCGCGTACATTCTCTGATTCCATTTTTCGATAATCTCCTTTCGTGTGCGGTGCCTTCAAAGTTGGAATTCTTTCCATAACCCTTAATAAGAATCAGACAACATAAAATGGTGCGCCTATGCACGCCAACTTGTGCAAGCAACATCTTGCATATCCATCGTTTATGCACTAAAAATGGCATTTTTAGATTATTGGTATAAATAGTAGTTGATAGTGATTTTGTCGTACTATATTCATTTAGTGTATTCTGAGGTTGTCTTTTGTTATAGAGAAAACGTTAGAATTATATACAGTAATAAAAGTAACAAACCTTCTTTTTAACGTTGCAAGACATTTTCCTGCGCCCTCGTCAGTTTCCAGATTCGCTTCGGCAATGACACTCCTTAATAAACAGTATATAAAAGTGATACAGACAGATCATGATGACAATTTTTCTCCCAATTTTTGTCGTTGTTACTGAACGTCGATCAAATGTTTCAACAGATCTTACAGTGTCACAGATTTCATGATATCCTCCACGAACGCTATTGTTACTTTGGACAAAGGCTTCCACTTTTCGAAAGACTTCTTAGTCACTTTAAGATCCCTTATTCGATCTAGAGCCGTATGTATTCCCGACGACTTCCTTGATTTAGGTCTGCCTCTGGTACCTACAAGTTTGTAAGCACGCAGCTCTACATATGCACCGTACGAATGAAAACAACAACCGAATGATGGCGGCATGTGGACCAACCAGTGAACTCTAAGTGTATGCTGGAATGATAACTTAGCAAGATAGCTTAACCGCCATCTTTCAAGTCAAATTGAAGGTCGCTATTAAAGATCCGAAGCCAAAAATACACTGTTTATCTTGACCAAATTAGGCAGTAGGCACAGAGTCACTGGGGGGCGCCCATGTCAGTTAACTCAACTCTTAGCCCCAGGCCCCCTGCATTCAATTTCGTGGTGCCGTCACTGAAAATTCATCCATCGGAGCAAGATTAGAGCATTCATACTTGAACCTCCGTAAAGACAAGTTTTGGGAACGCGGAAAAATGTTTACCTTTTTTTCAAGAGCAGGAGTTTTCATTTACAATGCCAATCACCAGAAATATGGGATATTTTGCGGTCGCGTTATGTCAGCGGAAAATCTCGACATAAGTATATAATTCATAATGGCGACCATATATAAATATCTACAATATTAGTATGTAAATCTGGTTTAAATCAGCTTTATACAATGATCCAATCATAAGATTTGAGAGCCTTTATTACTGTAGTCATCATTTCAGTCTACTTGAATTTGAAGCTATCTGGTAAAAAAAGCCGTTTCCTCGCAAATTTTTGCCAAAAGCACACTTTCCTGCTCATTGACACCCTCCCAAGTCCTTTTCAAAGTGTTTTTCTCGTGGAATCATGACTTGAGAGACTTCATCGCCACAGTTAGCGTTCCGGTCTACTTCACTGGGATACAGCTATACATTGTTTCCTTTTCATCATACCAGCGAACTCTAATAAATAACTTGAACGATAAATCAAGGAGGCGGTATCGTTCCAGTTATCTATTAGAGTTCACTGCATCATACGTTATTAATGCATAGTTGATAGGGAGAAAAGGCACAGCCAAAGACATGCAACTCAGAAAGACAGGGGTACAGTACGTGATGTTTCGGATTTCGGATGTTATTCAAAAGTAATGTTGCTATTTGGTTTACTTACTTGAGGATGTTGGAGTGAGAGAGGAGTTTGCTGGAGAAGCAGTCTACAAGAGATTGTTACGATTTATATATTATTATAATATAGCAGGATACAACTAAGCCTAGTTTCAATTTAGTCGTAATTAATTGATGTAAGCTTTTAAAACTGCCCCAAAAGATCTCGATAAATCGTTAGAAAATTTTATCATGCTAATAATAAACAATGATCTCATTTTTTATGTGGAGTATATTAACAATCCCATTTCTAAAGGTGCAGTGCCTGTCTTGATTACCATATAGCTGATTCTGTTTACATCAAAGACAGGAAGGTACTAGTGTATGTATTATGTAGTAACAGGTGTATTAAGTACTGTACCTTTGACGTTTTGCGTTTTTTTGCTTCACGACCGGGTGTAGCCTGCAGTTCCTTTTCACCAGCCATTTTCCGTTTTTGACTGGTTTTGGATGACACCAGAACACCTGTCGAATGTTCTATCGATTGACTGTCGGAGCAGCTATCCGACAACTTACTGATATGGTTATTAGAAAGTCTGCTGATACTTGATACTGAGCTGTTAAATGCTTTGGCATCACTATCGACATTTTCCCCTCTTTTGAGGGTATGCCCTGTATTAGATTGGTGGTGACTAACTCGTCTTCGTTCTTTGTAAGCAACAAAATTGACTGAAGGTCGTTTCCTTTTCTTAGTCTTCGTGCTTGTTTTCATTTCCTTTTCCTGTCCTCCCTACGTACGGTTAAAGAGCAAACAAACCACTGAGTGAAGAGTAAATTATTCGTATGTTACGTACGTATGTACGTATATTTTGCTCAAAAATTAAAAATCTTCTTTTGGCATTGCTCTTTTAAACAGTTCTGTTTTCCTTGCTTCATTTTGGAGAGCGTATACAAGGCAGTGCAACGCTGGGAAACACGTGTGACGCATTTTAGAGAGTGCGGGCAGGGCCGTAGCTAGAAGCTTAATTGGGGGGGTGTTTATTCATATATTCGTCTTATGCCGGACTGATTTCTTTTGTACGCTATTGTTCCTCGGTAGGCATAAGACTGATTTCTTTTGTACGCTATTGTTCCTACGGTATATAAACATGAATATATGAATATACACACCCCCCCCCCCCCAATTAAGCTTCTAGCTACGGCCCTGAGTGCGGGAAGGCGCAATTTGCTCAGAGGAATTTGCAAATGTACATTTCAATATTTCACATGCGCTAAATTGATCATGGGTTATATTGCAGTTGTACCACCCTATCTTATATAAGCTCTAAAGCCAGGCAGTAAACTACCTTTTTTATTGCAGTAGAGAGACACGAAAGAACCATACTAAGTATAAATAGGCAGGAGACAAGATGCAACTGGAGGAAATGTCTTTCACAGAATTGTATTATCACATATAATCATTTGCACTTCAGAAAAGGATGAAGAGACACACTTAATTTAGAATAAGATATTATTTGTTATCAATAAATACTACATTGGAAAACCGTACTACATTTAGATTTGTTAGATCATATTTCCAGAAAAGTTTATCAGTCGGTTTCTCCTGCTAAGTGCTAACATTGTCATTTAAGGACAATTAAATTGGACGCAGGCAAAATAGTTAAACTTGGACCACAAAGACCTAAACCAATATGTGTTATATATTGTGAACCAGGGGCCTAAATACAATGAATACTGACTGGAATAATAAATTTTGTACAGTTTTGCACAGTTGATCATGCATCAATAGCTAATATCCCATACTTATAAATTAAGCAATTCCTTTTCAATTAATTTAGAAAAATGTCATGTAGAGCAACAGTGAAATATCAAAGAGCTATGTAAGGAATTTAAGGAATCATCAAGGAATTTGAGTATGGCTTTTAAAAAAACCATGTTATTTTCATCTTATGGTAGGTATAATATTATTTCAAACACAAGTTGTGATTATAGTTGTATAGTCAGCCAGTAGGTACAGTAGTCATCATTTTTTTTTTAATATGCGAACAGTCGACAAGACAGCAGACCCTCATTATTCGGTTGTATAAAACTCTTTAACTGCATTTTGCATACACTTCGTTCTGATCAAAACTGACTCCCCGACAGTCAAAATTTACTGCTTTCTAATTATGCCATCTATGCTAAGTATTGTTCGGGAAATTGGGGGCTTTTTTGCTAAAGAAGGTAAGAACATTACCACAGAGAAAATATATTTAAGATATTTAATTGAAAGTTGAAACACAGTTTCAATGGCTTTTTCTCACATACCTATATACTTCAGCTTTTGCTGAGGCACATTACAATAGACCCTTTGCACATGACGTCACATTAGGCATCTGGAGGACAAATTAACGCAGCATAATACAGAAATATTTAATAGGACAACTTTTAATGATTATGACGTCAGTGCAATAGGTCTATAAGTATAAAACGTATTGGTGCTCCACAATCCGCTCCCTCGGTAAGGCTGGTATAAAAATTCTGTGTATCACTGTATGGCCAGGCTAAAAGGCCCCCCTCTCTCCCAAAATGGACTTATACAGCAATATCTTAAAGACTTAAACAGCAGCCTCGTGACTTACTTTATCGGTCGCAGGTTTTCTGGCAATTTCCTTCGTAATGTCATGGTTATCATTTTCTGTCGTGATCACAGTCGTGTGAGCAGGCCTCCCACTGGTTTTCTTCTTTTCCCGAGCTACTGGAGTCTTTAAAACGCTTTCCGAGCTACTGTCATCTCGATGTCCTGTTGGCGATGATTTCGGTGTCGAAGAAACTATTTTGATTCTTTTATTACCTGACGATAAGTCCATATCTGAGTCTCCATATTGCGAGTCTTGGTCTCCATTTTCCGGAGTGGTCTTTTCTTTTGGCTTTGATCTTTCTCTTGGGGTCAAAAAGTTTATCGATTGACGTTTCTTGCGCGGCTTTTTAGCACTTGAAATGCCACTTTTGGCCATTTTATAAACCATGAGCAGAATCTCCACTGTTTACCCGGCGGCCATATTGGAAATAAATGGCGCGAATTTTCTTATTTAAGGTGGCTCCACCAGTGGGCAACCAGTGGGCTCCACTGAGTGGCTCCGTGCCTTTTTTTCGTACCATAAAACGAGAATGGCGGAATTATTAAAGTTTTGTGTAGCAATAGAAATTTTTGAGGGAAAGTCAAATAAAAAAACTTAACTTCTACCCTCCAAATATATCGCCATATTTAGGAACTCAACGTTTACCATTTATATAAAATAGGATCGACCTTGGAAGTTCTTTTCAGATGGAAAATGATCATCCCAGGACGTTTGGTCTATTAGAATTTGAACATGAAAACCCTAATCTACTATAATTAAACCACTTTAGTCTATATCCATTATATCCATTATAAAATTTCTTTTGAGATTTTGCATCCTTTCTATATAATGTAATCGAGTCGGTGAAAAGCAACGGTGAGAGAGACTACGGTCCCGGCAGGACCCGAACTTGGAATTGTTTCACCCGAAGTAATAGCCTTATCCATCAGGCTATTGAGGACAATATGGGATTCATCGACAAATCAGCATTGGATCAAAATGGATGTATTAAAAATTGTAAATAGTCCGCAACTGGCTTAAACGTTTAATTGAGACCGTTCTATTGAGCCCATCACATGCATTGCATACGATATAAAACATTTATTGCATGTCGTTAAAACTAATAGTGCTTGCTCACGGACACTTTTTTCTAAGAAATTAGAGTTCACTATTGAACGTTGAAAGGTACACTATTGCCCTTGTGCATAGCGAAATATTTGTTACACCGCATGCGTTATATAGTAAAATTCTCTGACTCTAAAGAGGGAAAACGAGGAACACCTAATTGTTGGATAGGAATTGGTTCCGTCGCCATATATTTAGGCTTTTCATAACATTCATTCCTTCTGTGCGCAAAATCTTGTTTTTCCAGTAAAAAATCAAGCAGTTGAATGTCGAGTTCATGGAGATTAAAGTTGAGCACCAGAACCCTGCAATGTTTACATTGTTAAACGTGTGTCTAGCCCTCGGCTTGTTCTCTAGCGCGATGTAAATACACAATGGAATAGAGAGCACCACAAAACAGGCAACGGCCAGTAGACAACTGGATACATTTTTCAAAGAGAGCCTTTTCATCCGGTCTTGTGAAAGTCTGACTTAGTCTGTTGCTTCTACGGCATTTCCTGACGACAACTAACAATTTGAAATTGAAAAAAATCATCGGGAGAACGATGGCTGCGAACGTAACTGGAGCAACAACTTGTTGGGGAATCAAGAAGTCCTCTGTAGAAATCAACAACAGAGTAAGTTCGACAGTAATTAGTACCGCAAGAAGAGCTGAGAGTTTTCTCTTTGTTACCCAGACTTGATGAAAAAAAGGATGCGATGTCGCCAAATAACTTTCAAAATTCATTACCAACATGGCAAGTAAAGAAAAGCCAAGAAAAACTGCCGAAGTGTCGAATGAGATACGCACCCATTTTGGGTATGCACTGAACTTTCCAGTGAACGACAACAGAGCGACAATTGCCATGAATGTATGATTAATTAAAACAGAAAGAAAATCGAAGCACGACGACACCATGACCATGAAATGACATAATTTCTTCCATAGTTGTGCGCATCTCCAGAAACTAAGAATGACCAGGATATACAATCCAGTTCCAGGGAAGAGGAAAAGAACATTCACAGCAAATAGGAGTTTGATGTTGAAGAAGTAATAATCGAGGCCCATCGACTTGTTGTGGAGAACGAAAAAGTTGTGTGTTTGAAGAGAGACGTCAGGCAGGTGAAAGAAAAACAGACATTTAAACATAGACAACTGGGGCCGGTTGTTCATTGGCGGAGATTTAACGCCATAGGTTAACGCTAACCCAGGGTTAAAAATGCTTAACCCAGGGTTAAATTTTAAACCTCGGTTAATTTGTGTTGCACAAAGCCCGGTTAGCGTTAACCCTGGATTAAAGTTGATGAAAATTTTAACCCATCTAGCTAGGTGGTTTAACTTTTTAACCCTGAGGCTGAGTTATATACGAAGAGTCATGGCGGATCCCTTGCAGTTTGTCGTCCCAATACGGAATTTTGTGCGCAGACAGCGACGATATCGTCACGACAACTTAAACATACATGGTTTAACTGATACAGAATTAAGAATTCGGTACAGATTTGGAAGCCAAGCAATAAATTATATCACTAACTTACTCTATGAAGACCTTGTTCGCGACACGGACAGAAATTTTGCACTAATCCCCGACGTTCAAGTTCAATTGCGCTACGGTTTTTCGCAAGCGGTAGCTTTCTTCAGGTCATTGGTGACACGTTTGGCGTTGATAAGTCCATCGTATCGCGAGTAATTCGAGACGTATGTGTAGCGCTTTCAAGCAAGCAAGCAAGAGCAATTCATTCGTTGGCCGACAAATCAAATAAAAGAGGAAATTAAAAACGAGTTTTACGAGATGGCCCGTTTTCCATGCGTTATTAGCTGCATTGACTGTACCCATGTTCGAATCCAGGCACCACACGAAGACGAGAATTTCTATGTCAACCGGAAACGATATCATTCCATCAACGTACAAGCTATTTGTGACACTAAAGGTAAATTCCTAAACATATACAACGCTAAACAATGTATTTTCAATTGGTATATTAAAGACCCTACAAAATAATGACGAATGTGTATAATGGGAGTTTAATTATTTTCGCTTGTGTAACAATATTGTAGTAATTTTGTGCTATATATGTAGTATATATTTTAGGAAAGTTCACAAATATAGTAGCCCGCTGGCCAGGAGGTACACATGACACTGATGACAGTCACATATTCCGAACCTCCCATGCAGATAAAAGATTATTTAGAAGAGCACCACACATCAATAGAAGATGGACTAATGTTGGGGGACAGTGGATATGCACTGAAACCGTATCTGATGACACCTTACTCGGATCCTATAACACCACAGCAAAGATAATTTAATCGTGCATTGCGAAAAACAAGAGTGCTTATTGAGCAAGTATTTGGCCGATGGAAGAGGAGATTCCATGTACTACATTCCGAAATATGGATGGAACTTGGCCTGTGCGAGGATCGAAATTAAATTTCTATTAAAATTTTTCTTTCTTTCTGATCTGATGGAGTTCGGATGAAAAGCAATGAAACACAGGGTAATGGTCAAATTTTGAGAGAACACGGGATCGTCTCATCGGAAGTGAGACGCCTTACTAAGAATTTCCGTCGGAAATTTCCGGGAAGTATATGATTCGGGAATTTCCGATACCGTTAATTTCCGATTCTCGAAAGTAAATAATATAAGCACCCCTGGTAATAAATTTTACTTTTTAGCGTTTAAATTCCTTTGGTGCATCATGGTCTTACGTTACTGATTGCTTCGTTTCCCAAATAGTTGAGAACAGATATAGAATTTTTGCTTACCAAAAATCGTCCACCACAGTCTGTACATCCGAATAAGAATCGTATGTAAATAATACAGGGTGAGTAAAAAAAAACTGACACCTTTGAAATTCAAATTAGTCGCATAGCGGCTGTAATGTGGCAGAAGTTGCTTAAATATTTCATAGGTATACGAAGCATATCATCATATTAATTAACCTAAAGCATAAAGTTTGTTCCCATTGGGAGTTAAAAAGCATTCTAAGCTCTGTAAATACAAAAGAACAGTTTTATCAAATCGTTTTTGTTGATTGTACATGGGAATTGTCACATTCCAGCTACGAGTTTGCAGCTAATTTGAATTTCAAAGGTGTCAGGTTTTTTTGACTCACCCTGTATAATCACAAAACAAAAATCAATTAGTGTTCAGCGAAGTGGTAAGAGCACAGTTGCTGAAGGAAATACATATCTTTCAATACATACGCCAGCCTGGAATGTGCATTTGTCAATACATATCTTTCAATACATACGCCAGCCTGGAATGTGCATTTAGCTTAAAAGTTGCTAAACTCAGAACGTCATAAGTTCATATATAGCTATGTCTAGCGACCTAGAAATTCTAGGCGCAGCGTATGGAAAGGCCGATGTCACTGCAAAAGTAAGGGAATATCAGAAAGGACCAGCACTTTCGGTTATAGCAAAAAACAGTGTATTTGGGGATACCTGGCGCGGACACGACAAGAGCCTGGTCGTGGTTTACAAGTACGGTGATAAGGCAGCAGAAGTAAAGGTGGTAAAAGAAGGCAAAACTTTAGAAATTAACGGTCCACAAGTCAATTCACGAACAACTACTGAATCTTCACAACTAAATATCCTTGGTGCCGTTTACGGTCTCTGCGATGTCACCGTGAATGCTCGAGGACTCATAAGCAATAACGTACTCGACCAACCAGTTTCTAATGATTTATGGGGGCAGGGTTGGAGGCGTCGCAAAAAAACCTTAGTCGTTGTTTATGAATACAGATCTAATGTCATGGTCGAGATCGCTGTTCAAGGTGAGAGAATAAATATTAGTGAGCTTAAGCAAGTGACGTTTTTAACATCACAAACGGCATGAGTAACGCCAAAAGACTGGGTCAAGAATTGTGATTGGTGAAAAATAAAAACTTTACTTCCGGTCAACGTACGTGTTGTCAAAAACGTCACTTGCTTAAGCTCACTATTATTGCATCACCCCCTCTTACCATACTTGGTGCTGCGTATGGAGTGAAAAACGTCACCGATAAGGCTCAAGAGTTGGTGAAAAATTGTTCACTGAACGTCCAAGCGGATGATTCTACATTTGGTGACGGGTGGCGTAAGAATCGTAAAAGTTTAGTGGTCGTTTATCAGTACGGCGGAGAGACGCCATCAGTCGCTGTTGTACAGGAGGGCAAAAAAATGGTAATACGTTATTCTCGGAAGGGAGATTATCATGGTCCAAGGGATCCGGGTGAGCTCGCAATCCTGGGTGCAGTTTACGGGTTAGGGGATGTTACAACTGAAGTTCGACGCAAAATTAAAGATAAAAGTACACTTGATATAAACGCCAACAATGATACATTTCGTGAC